CCCGCCGCGACCTCGGATCCTGCTTGCCCGCGCTTTTTCACCGTCTCTTCCCGCGTTCGACTCGGCTGAGCTGGGCCCGGCCTCTGCGACCGATCCGGGCGGGTGGGCGCCGGGGAGCCCGTGACGGACCCCGCGGCCCAGCGCCTCGTTCCTGCAGGAGCCGGCCGCCTCCATGGCCCCCAGGCATGCCAGGCCGGGCCGTACCGGGTCCTAGGAGCCGGCTTTCCGGGAAGCGGGGAGCATGGTGGGGGTCCTGGCCATGGCGGCGGCGGCAGCTGCTCCCCCTCCGGTGAAGGACTACGAGCTTGAGGTGAGCTTGAGTACCTCCCTCCGTCTGTGGGGGGTGGGTGAAAGGCGATCACTTGGATCCTTGAGGGGGAAAGAGGGACCTGGGGAGGCCCCGCTGTTGTGACATCGTGTGGAACAGTTGCTGGCGTGTGTCGTTTCTTCCAGTCCTGAGGTGCTAGGTCCTGACAGACCCCGGTGTTGTGAGATGTTTGCGGGGCCAGGTCAGTTAGGACTGAAGAGACCTCGACCAGTTCCCAGATGCAGAAATGTCGGTGGAACTTGTTATTTTGGACTTGTGAAATGTCATGGAGAGGACCCCAGGGCTGATAGGGGATTGTAGAACTTTAGCGTTGAAAGGGGATCTTGAAGTTCACCTGGCCCTTCCATCTACCTGTTCCAGGAACGCCATTTAGAATGTCTCTCCAAGAATCAAACAAGGTACTTAGAAAAACCAGTTTTCCGTGGCTCTAGAGCTTAAGGTACTGCAGTTAGGAGTCCCAGCCCGGCATACTGTTATTCTCTTGTGTATCGTCACTGAAACGCACTAAGTTTCAGTGAAATACACTAAGCTGTCCTTAAAAAGCCAGTCTAATGCCTTGAGGTAGTGGAGTAGCGCCTTAGGCTGCTGTTATATTTTTACACCTTTTCACCTCAAGCTAGCATTCTAACTGAAGTATGCGTATTGGTATCCTTGAAGTGAGCCAAGATGTATGGTCACTTATTTAACTGGGGCTCTTCTGTTTTATTTTTATTTAATTTTTAATTTTTATTGATTTTAGGGGTAGAGAGAGAAGGCATTGATTTGTTCCACTTATGCATTCTTTGGTTGATTTTTTTTTTTTGAGAATCACAAAGATTCCTTTTTTTTTTTAATTGAGTTTTAGAGAGAGAGGAAGGGAGAGGGTTAAAGAGAGAAATGTTGATCAGAGAGAAACATCAATCGTGCCCTGACCTGGAATCGAACCACCACCACCTGGTTTCTAGGTGGACTCACAACCACAGAGCCACACTGACTGGGTTCATTGGTTGATTCTTGTATGTGCCCTGATGGGGGATCGAACCAGGCAACTTTGGCGTTACTGGATGATGCTCTAACCAACTGAGCTGCCTGGTCAGGGCCTTACATTTTACTTTTTAATTACATTTTACATTCAATATTATTTTGTATTAGTTTCAAGTGTACAGCATAGTGGTTAGACAGTCATATACTTTACCCCCCAAAATATTTCAAGTACCCACCTGGCACCATACATAGTTATAACACTATGCTGTACTTTTTCTTATTTTTTAGAATCAAGTAACTTTTGTCTAGTTACTAATCATTGTTATGCTCATAATTGTTTGTTAAATCTAGGTGGTTGCTCAGCTTGTCTCAGGTGTGAAGAAGGACTTGGTACTTGAATTACACAAATTTTTATTTTTGTGTGGTCAGTTTTATCAGTCTTTTTGTTACAGTTTCTGCTTTTGGCACCCGGCTTAGAGAGCCTATTTCATAATAATGATACTTACTGTTTAGTATTTTAAGGGTAAGGGCCTTATACACATTATTTTACTTAATATCAACCCTGTGATGAGGTACTATTATCTGCATTCTACAGATGGGAGGTTACAAATTAATTTGCTTAAGGTCCCACACTAGTAGATGCTAGAGCCAGCACTTGAACTTAGATCTGCATGAATCCAGAGGTATGGTATGGTATTGTGCCACTGATACCATCTCAGGGTAATAATAACAAAATTCATTAGCATTTTCTCCTAATGTACTTACCATTTAATTTTAACGTAAAATTTTAATCTGTATAATTTATTTTGCCTCATGTTTATCCAAATAGTGAGAAATTTGTCCCAATACCATTTTAACTACTTCTTTGCCCACTAACTTGAATGCTACTGTTATCATATACCAAATTCTTTTTTGTTTTTTAAATATATTGACTTCAGAGAGAGGAAAAGAGAGGGAGAGAGAGAGAGAAACATCAATGATGAGCAAGTCATTGATCAGCTGCCTCCTGCACCCCTCCTACTGGGGATCGAGCCCACAACCAGGGCATGTGCTCTGACCGGGAATCGAACCGGATTCTCCTGGTCGATGCTCAACCATTGATCCATGCTGGCTGGGCAGTAACTGTTTGAATAGCAAGTTAAAACATTGGAAAGTTTTGTTTGTGGTATCCACCATAATTTTTACTTGATTAGTAAATTTTGCGATCCTAGGTTTGTTCACTATGTACCTGTTTCTTAGAAATAGAAGTTTTGTTTATTTTTAACTGAAAAAATAAAAACGGAACAGAATTTATATTTGTAGAGTTCCTACCATGCATCAGACTTCACGTATTTTTATGTAGCTTGTTCATTACAAATTCTGTGAGGTGGGTGGTACTATTCAAAGGTTATAGAATAAAGAGGGGCCAACAGAAATGAACACATTTGTACCTAAGTATAGTGGCCTTGAAACTTTTTATTGAAGTATAATATGTGTATAGTAAAGGCATAAGTTGATGTAATGTTGATATTTGAATTAGACTTAACTTTAAAGCTCCTTTTTTATCTAATTACATAACATACTAGAGCCATGTTTAAAATGTATGTTTCGTATTATTTTGCTTGAAATAAACTTTTTTTTCTTCTTTTACATTTATAGGCATGCAAAAAGCGAAGGAGAGATGATGACAGATCTTCCTGTGAAACAATTACAAAGTATTTATCGCCAATAGGGAAGACTGGAGACAGGGTTTTCTCTCCACCAAAATCCAGTAATATTCTGGATTATTTTAGAAAGACTTCACCCACAAATGAGAAGACTCAGTCAGCAAAAGAGTGTAGGATAAAGTCATCCGCACCATTGCCTGCTGACATTGGCATAGGCTGTAAAATACCTTTGGAAATGTCCTCAAATATAGAGTTTAAGAAGAGAAGGAAGAGAGTTAATTTAGCTCATCAACTAAGTAATATTAAACCTGAAAATGAATCTCCGGTTGAAATTAATAGTGATGACAGCAAAGAAGACTGTAGTTTAAATAATGATTTTGTAGAGAGTAGTACTTCTGTTTCACTCAACAAGAAACATGTAGAAATACTTGCAGAAAGTATTCAAGATATCAAAAACCAGTCAAGCACTGTGACCTCCAAAAAAAGTTCTAAGAAAGTAAATCCTAAACAAGGGACCACAGAAAATGAGTGTAAAAAATCAAGAAAAAGGAAGCGCCAAGAGGTAATAGATCTATCTGAAAGTTTACCCTTGGCAGAGGAACTAAATCTCCTTAAAAATGATGGTAAAGATAGTAAACAGATAATTCCTTCCTTAATTAATGAAATCAAGAGTACTGCAAATAATATAACTCAACAAGCCCAGTTAAATGATAATACAATAACTGTCTCGTATGAGGAATTTTTAAAAAGTCACAAGGAAAATAAACTGGAACAGACACCAGACTCTACAATGTCAATTTGTATTCCTTCTAAAACTGTTGAAGATAGTGTCACAAGTGGTTGTACAAGTGATACAGAAACCTGTGAAATTTCCCAGCAAGTACTCTTTAAGACAGTTACTGTTCTTGCGCAAGTTCACCCTATTCCCCCCAAAAAGACAGGGAAAATACCCTCAATTTTCTTGAAACAAAAGCAGCTGGAAATGGAAAATAGTCTGTCTGATCCTGAGAATGAACAGACAATTCAGAAAAGAAAATCTAACGTTGTTATACGGGAGGAAGAACTAGAATTGGCAGTATTGGAAGCTGCAAGTTCTGAAGCTGTGAAACCAAAATGCACTCTAGAAGAAAGACAACAATTTATGAAAGCGTTTAGGCAGCCAGCATCAGATGCACTTAAAAATGGAGTCAAAAAGTCTGATAAGCAGAAAGAGCTCAATGAAAAATCTTTAAATGAGGAAGGAAGAGACAGTAATTCTAAAAAAATCATGGAAAATCCTAATATCCAAATGGTTTCAAATGATGACAATTCACAGTCACACACTAATAAAAGAAGTTTTCCTAAGGAGAAATGTAAAAAGCTGAAGAAAAAGTATAGGAAAATGTTAGATACTGGTGCTACTCCAGGTGAAAATAGAGAGGGAGATCCTCAAAAGAAAGAATCAGCTTTTTCCTTTAAAGGTAGACAGAATAAAAATAGGCTTAGAATGAGTTTAAGACAAAAGAAAAGAGCAGTTTTCAAAGACAGCCTATTCTTTAACAGTGCAAGTCTTGTTTGTGAAGATAGAGCAGATGACCCTCTAAAGGCTTTTTCTCAGTATACCAGTAAGTCTTCAAGAAAAACTAGCCCACCAGGTAAGGGTAAGGTGGTACATGCTAAAGCTGAAACTGAAGACCGCTTGGTAAATGTTCTGACACCCAGATCAACCAGGAGATCTACACGAGGTAGCAGGACGCCGACTACAACAGTCGGAGGTACAGACTCTGGAGATGCACAAGATAGTCCAGTAAAGGCTTCCACTCCAAAAGCAGCCAACTTAGCAGAAAAGCATAGCTTATATGCAGCGGAATTAATAACAGTATCCTCTGATTCAGAGAGTCCTATTAGGTAAGCTAAAGTTTTGTTTTTGTTCTCAAGTTTTAAGTATTCTGCATGTACTGTTAGCTGGGAAGGAAAATACTATAAGCATTAGAGAGTACTATTTTTCCCTAGAACACAGCTGATTTTAAAAGGAAAAGAGAGGGTGTCAAAAATGCTGCTACTTTCCACATTTAATAAAGTCAGGCATGATTGCAGAAGAATTCTAGATATACTTTAGATGAGGTCTAAACTCTTATAACAGTTGCTGGATGAAATATTCTTCAAATATGAATTCTGTGCATATAACAAACAAGATTAAAAATAAATCATAGACTTTTATTTCCTGGGTAAACTGGGCCATGCACTATGAGGTCTATACTTGCATACTGGTTCTGGCTAATGTAAGAGTGATGTTAGGGGCTAATTTTCTGTAAAGCTTCTGATTTCTAAAGTAAACAATTTATATTACAAATTTAACATTGAGTTTGGCTTACTTTTGAATTAGTAATTTTGAAACTAATGGGGTGTTTTTTGTTTTTTTCTGTTTTAGAACTGTCCAGAAATTGGAGCCCTAGTTGGTTCTTTTCTATATTTAATTGAAATTTTCACACATTATAATCATGAAAATGTTTCTGATTTTTTCCCCAGAATGAAATTCACCAGAATTAGTACTCCCAAAAAATCTAAGAAGAAATCTAAGAGAAGATCCAAGAAATCTAAAGCAACTGGTGGAGGTTTTACCTCTCAAACTAGAAAGGTAATTGAAATATCAGGGAGTCGTGTAAGTGATATTCTATTTTCTTATAAGCAACAATAACAGCTACTACTATTGGAAGTAATATGCTACAAGAAGATGCACATATTTCATAGATTGGATATGTTAACTACAACCCTATATTATTTTTCACTATTTTTCTATTCCTCTGGTTAGTTTATTAAGACATCAAGATAGCTTATTGTGAGATGAAAGCAATTGATAAGGACCAACTCTAATTTACTTTTTCTAAGTTTTGTTACTGAGAGTTACATTCCAATTATTTTCCCTAAGGCTACTTTTAGGTCATGATTGAATGTTTGGTTTATTTCTGTAGATTAGATGCTAAAAAGCAGGATCTCTCAACCCTGGTACTATTGACATTTTGGACTGGATAATTCTCTGTTGTGGGGGATTATCCTGTGCGTGTAAGATGTTTAGCTGTAACCCAATTAACTGCAAGTTTACTGAACTTTTATTTTAGAAATACCATGCCTTGTTCGTGCTATGTACTGCTTAGAATTGTGAATCAGTAATAAAGTTTCCAGCAAGACAAATCTCAAAATTTATTGTATCCAATTGGGGTCTTATCTGAATTTACTTAGATCAGTTATTTTATCTCATACTATTAATCTGTCAGTGAACTTACTACACAGCCTTGCTTTTTGAGGCCTTAGCCAGGCTTGTTTACTAGCTCTAGGAGAAAATCTCAGTCATTTTCTGGGAGACATTTTTCATGTTTTATGAGAATGAGAATAGACTGGTTTTCCTGAGCGCTCCATATTCATAACAGCTCTCCAACAGATATTTACAGAATGGCTCTGGCTTCATTTTTCTCATGCCATAAATATTTATTTAATGCAATGCTATATGCTAGGCATTGGGAGGACAGCTCCAAACAAGCTGCACATGGACTGGATTCTCATGGAGCTTAACATCTTATAATGAATTCAGGCAAATAGGCAGTTGAATATATGATAAGATTTATAATAAAGTAAGTGCTGAGTTCTCTGAAAGCACATAGATGGGATGCCTAACTTCCCAGGTACCTAAAGGGTAGAAATTGTCCTCTAAACATAGGGAATAGGATATGTAAAGGCCCTGTAGGCAAGAGAGAACATATTTTAGGGAATGAGAAGTAGGGTCTGGACTATTAAGGAATTTCAGCATCATTCTGAGAGAAGTAGGGAGCCATTTGAAATAGGGGAGAAACATGATTAGATTTGAGTTTTAGAAAAATTACTCTGACTGCAGTGTGGAGAATAATCAATGAGCAAGACTTGGGGCTGGGGGACCAGTTAAGAGGCTTTTGGAGAAATCCACATGAAATATAACAATTGTGTTTTGAATGACAGTAGTGAAAAATGGACGGTGGTTATTCAGGGGGAAGAATTTAGGAGACTTGATGGACTGAATTTCTGTGAAAGAAAGGGAGAAGTGAAGCATGGTATGCAAGGTACTGGCTTGGGCTTTTGAGTGGATGCTGCTCCATTCCTCTGAGAGAGGAAGAAAGCTAGGTGTGGGAGAAAGGTGAGGAATTTGGTTTTGGAAAAAATGGATTCTAGGAACCTGTGGGATGTCCAAGTAGAACCATTTATAATTAGCAGTTGCAGAGATTTGAGCCAGAGGGAAAGCTGAAGGAGTTATTAGCATACTGATGGTAGTGGAAACTCTGAAAATGGATGAGTTGATGTAGGAAAAGTGTATTTGGTGAAAAGAGGAGCCATCCAAAGATAACCCTGATAATCCATAGTCTTTAAGGATTGAGCAGAAGAGAACATGGGAAGAGAGCCTGAACTGGTAGAACAACTTGGAGAATTTGATGTTATGCAAGCATTTCATGAAGGGGAGTGGTCAATACTGTCAGAAGTGGCAGAGAAGTTTAGTGAGATGTGAATTGAAGTGCCCCTTGATTTTTAGCAGTCTTGGTAAGTGTTGAGTAGTGAATGCACAGGTAAGATTGTTTGCCTAAGTTTAGGCAAGAGGGACAAGAATAATTAGATTGATTCAGAGTGGTTGTTTCTCCCAGGTAGCTATGGCAGAAGACAACGGAGCCAAAGGAGGTGAAACATTTTTAAGCGTGGTTAAAGTGATGTGCAGTGGAATCTAAGCTGGGTGGGGAGCAGGGGCTGACGAACAGGAAAGTCAGAGGACAGATTCCAGATGTAGTCAGGAGTAACCAAGTAACAGCTGAGAGGATAGGCAGTTAGGTCAGGAAATAGTGTGTCAGAAATGATTGTTTTTGATATGATAGAATTTTGGTTGATTTTAATTTTCTTTATTTCTGTTTTTTGTTTTTCTATAAATATGAACTTTAAAAAACTTACATCAGAAAAATAACTATTAGAAAAAAACACAGGTTTCAAGAAATAGCAGGACTACTTGCCAACAGATATTTTTTTTCTCACATTCACTAAAACATCTCTTTTTGTATAACAGTTTGTTTCAATGATTGAGTTGTTAATTTAAATTTAGGTGGATTGTTTTGAATACTAACTCACCATAGGTTCGTCAGCCTGCCAAAAATTTTGCTAGCAGAATAATAAAAACCTATCACTGTATTACCATAGAAGCAAATCCTTAACATTTTTAACCTTCTTAAATATATTTTAAATATTCATTTCTATTCTTTTTAATGTTTAAAAAAATTTTTTAAAGATTTTAAAGACAGCAAACATTTATTTAGAAAACAAACAGGAGAAGCATATAAAATGTACAAGATCACTTAGCACATCAATGGCAGAACCAGATCTGAAGACCAGGCTTTATTCTTATCTAGTGCTCTTCTTCATTCCTAATAACTTTTCAGTTTCTCTAAAGGATTCAGCCTAAAGCTGTCTAAAATCAAAGAACGGATGCCATGAAGATGGTGGGGAAATAACCAACAATTCTAAACTATACTACAGAAATCTTTCTGGGTGTTTTTCACAAATGTAACTATCTGTATAAATTTCAAGTAAGAAATCATGGCAAAACAAGTATAACTAGACACATTTTAATTTAATTGCCTTAGTAATATTTGAATAACCATTTCTTTGTCTTTTATTTAATGGACTTTATTATTGTATTTTTTTCTATTATATATATATATTTTAATAGACATTTTCTTTCAAGAGCAGTTTTAGGTTCACAACAAAATTGAGCTAAAGGCACAGAGATTTCTCATATACCCCCTGCACCCACACATGCACAGCCTCTCCCATTATCAATGCCAGAGTGATACATTTTGTTCTCGCTGTTGTTTTATTTTGATTTTGATTATTAAAGCTGAGGAAAATGAAATAAGAAAGGGCTTAGGACACAACAGGAGAGAGTCTAGGTGGGGCTGCTTTGGCCCTCTAGAAAGTCAGAAAAGGGGGCCTTGGGGACAGATTTGGGGGGATTAGTTTAGAATGAGCTGCCATTGCCCATTGCTCCCCTGGTTGCAGGTCTCCTGGGGACCCTTAGAGTTTAGGAGATGCATGCCTGTGGGGGAAGAAGGGGGGAAGGAGCAGAGTAGTACATTTGTTCCGATTGAAGAACCTGTGTTGGCATATTATTACTTAGAGTTCATAGTTTACACTAGGTTTCATTCCCTCTTGGTGCGTTTTGGTATATTCTGAAGGTTTGGACCAATGTCTAACGACATGTGTCCACCATTACAGTATTATACAGAGTGGTTCCACTGCCTTTAAACTCTTTTATGCTTTGCCTGTTCATCCCTTCCTCCCCCACCTAACCCCTGGCAACCGCTGATCTTATCACTGTCTCCACAGTTTTGCCTTTTCTTATTTTTCTATTATTAAATATAATATGTTTGCCAGTGATCTAAATTAATGTTTCAAATTTTTGTTTAGGCAAGCAATACTTCAAAAAATGTATCAAAAGCAAAACAATTGATTGAAAAAGCAAAAGCTTTACACATTAGTAGGTCAAAAGCTGCTGAAGAAATAGTGACACCCTTAAGGCGTTCATCTAGACATCAGATTCTTCCTGAAAGGAAGAAAATGTCAGACACAGAAGTAAGTATTATAAATATTTATTGATATAAATTATGTCCTAGCCCTGACCAGTGTGGCTCAGTTGGTTGGAGTGTCTGTCCTGGATACTGGAAGATCATGGGTATGATCTTTCATGGTCAGGGTGTGTACGTACGGGAGGCACCCTATCCATGTTTCTCTCTTACATCAATGTTTGTCTCTCTCTCTCTTCCCCTGCCTCTCTCNGTGTCTGTCCTGGATACTGGAAGATCATGGGTATGATCTTTCATGGTCAGGGTGTGTACGTACGGGAGGCACCCTATCCATGTTTCTCTCTTACATCAATGTTTGTCTCTCTCTCTCTTCCCCTCCCTTCCTTTTTCTAAAATCAATTTAAAATAAAATCTGTCCTATTTTGTTGTTTGGAGTGGGAGAAGGAAACCATTATAAAGTTAAAAGGTAGAATTGTGAGGTAGCCTTGAGGTGGTAGGAAGAATGTTGTTTTCATTCTGCTTTAAAAGTCCTTGGCTTTCTTTTGCCTACAGAATGTAGTCTGAGTCCTTATCGAATTATTCAAGATCCTTTGTAGCCCGGCTGGGCATGGCTCAGTGGTTACGCATCAACCTAGGATCCAGGAGATTGCAATTCAATTCCTGGTCGGGGCACATGCCTGAGTTGCGGGCTCCAGTCAGGGGCGTGTAGGAGGCAGCCGATCAATGACTCTCTCATCATTGATGTCATTGATGTTTCTCTCTCTCTCTCTCCCTCTCCCTTCCTCTCTCTGAAATTAATAAAGATATATTTTTAAGGAAAAAAAATATATATATCGTTTGTAGGCTGAACTAGCGCTTCCCTTTCTTCATAACACCACCCTTTCACCCGGCCAGCATGGCTCAGTGGTTGAGTGTCGATCCATGAACCAGGAAATCATGGTTCAGTTCCCAGTCAGGGCACATGCCCAGGTTGCAGGCTCGACCCCCAGCAGGAGACATGCAGTATAGGCAGCTGAGCAATAACTCTCATCATTAATGTTTCTCTCTCTCCCTTCCTCTCTCTGAATTCAATAAAAACATATTTCAAAACAAAACACTACCCTTTCTCATTTACAAACTTTTGGCTCTAATGACACTAAATTATTCACTTCTCCTCAAATGGTGCAAATTTTACTTTTTTTTCAGTTTTTAGTCTCATGATGGGGAAATGTATGGAGTTGCTATGTAATTATCTTGCCTATGGCTTCTAGCTCTGTAATCCTTTTGAAATTTTAATGACATTAATTGTATGGCATATTTTTTTAAAAATTTTCTTATTTTGTCTTAGGACTCTGTAATAATAATAAGTTCAAGTCCTGCTTCTTTAAAGCATCCTGAGACAAATCAGAAGAAACTTCAGTGTCTAAATGATGTGCTGGGAAAAAAACCTAACAAGACTCCTAAAAATGAGCCTGGTAACCACATTTGATAACATTTATGATGAACGTTGGAATGTTTTGGGGGATTATATTGTTCTGAATGCTCTCATTTTAATCTCTTGCCTTATAAAATGTAAACTTTTAATTGTATTAAAATTATTTCTATTTTAATAAGTAAAGTTATAATGTAGTGAAGAGTTTTGCAAAGGGTAACTGAGCATATTTTAAGTTACCACATTTCTGTGTATTTATTTATCCTCAGTTAAGTTAGTGGTTCCCAAAACTGACTAATCATCAGAACCATCTGGGTAAAATTTTTTAAAATTACATCTTTATTTCCTTTTCTAGATATATTAACTATGAATTTTCAGAGGTGGGCTGTGGGAGTCTGTAGTTTAAAAAAATTTTGTTCTCCAAGGGATTCTGATAATATTGCCAGGTTGAGGGACCAGATCATTATATAGAATTCTTTTTAATTGAAAAATTTTTAAGGAGTTAGTTTTTTAAAAGTTCAAAAAGATAGAGATATAATTTTGAAAGTGGCTGGAGGGAAGTGGAGATGATGAACAAATACTAACCTGAGTATTTATTTTTCTAAGGAAAAATGAAAGTCGCTCCTTTATTTCTTACCAGAAAGGCTCATAAAACAGCTGATCCTACCCTTGGTTTTGATGAAAGCAGGTCAGTCCAGTACACATTTGTAAATGCCAAAATGTTTTATGGAATGTGTTTTGTATTTATTCATTTACTTTGATGAGGAAGCATGGAAATTACCATTTGAAGCTTTAATAAGTTCATTTTAAAAGATGACAATATGACAATGGTACAACTGGATTTGAAGGTCTTGGTTTTTTGCAAACATTTTGTGGCCATCTCTAGACAAAATAGTAGAAAAATAAACAGGCAAACCAAAAAATTAAAAAGCCGATTATGAACTTAATTAATAAATCTTTAAATACCTACTATGTACCCAGGCACTGTCTCTGATACTAGGACTATTATGGGGAACAAAATAAGACACATTCCTTGTCCTTATGAGGCTTATACTCTAGATCAGGGGTGGGGAACTTCGGGCCCACAGGCCATATACAGCCTATGAAATCATTCCGTCTGGCCCTGCCAAGGCCTCACCAAAAGAAGCAGTTACAGCCATCACATTAGGGTTGAGTTAATTAAATATTTGACCAAATATGGCAGGCTAATTTTTAAGTTGATAATTTTGTATGGCCCTTGAATGATGTTATAAATATCCAGATAGCCCTTGGCAAAAAAACCACATGGTCCCCACTCCTGTTCTAGATGAATGACAAACCATGATTAATCATTAATTGGGCCAAGAAATGAAATATTGCAATTGTGCTAAGGAGAGGTACAAAGTTCCATTGAGTTTATATTAAATAAATTTGATCTTGTCAAGAAAGACTCTGCTGAGGAAATGACACCTAAACTGAAGGATAAGCAGGAGTTCATCAGGGGGAGGAACAGTGGTCCAGCCAGAGGGAACAGTCTGTGCACAGTCCCTAGAGCTGAATGGAACATGGTAAATATGGAAGATTGAAAGAATGCCAATGTGACTTGAGCATAGAAAGCAGGGGTGAGAGGAATGTGAGATTAAACTAGAAAGGTGGATGCCAGTCCAGTCAAAAGGTTTAAAAATGAGTATGGACATTTGGATTTTGAAAGTTTAATCTGACTACTGGATTAATTTGGCTATTGTATAAAGAATGGAATAGAGGAGGGCTTAGAGTGGATGCAGGATTCCAGGTGTGAGATGATGGCAGTATGGACTCAGGTGTTGGAAATGATGTATGAAAAGATTTAGGAGCTAAATTTAAAAACCTTGATTAATTAGAGTTGGGGTAGGAGAGAGGAAAGTGTAAGGGTAACACTTAAGTTCTGGTCTATGTAAGTGGATGGCACATGGAAGAAGACCAAATTTAGGGACATCATGTGTTCAGGTTTTTTTTTTCTTGTTTCAGTTTTACTGATGTGCAATTACTATTGTTAAATGTACAATAGTACATTTTTGATACATAAGCATACAGTTTTGATAAATATATTATATGGAGATACAGCATCTTTGTTTTACTCCAGGAAAGTTACTTACTCTTTCTGTTACCCCACCACTGCCACAATAGAAGGTCACCACTCTTCTGGTTTCTACTGCTATAGATTAGTTTTGTCTGTTTTAAAACTACATAAACTTTAATTATATATATTCAATGATGTATATTCTTTTGTGTTTATTTTTGTTTCATATACACACAGATATTTTTTAATCCTCACCCGAGGATTTGTTTTTATTGATTTTTAGAGAGAGAGAAACATCAGTCGGTTGCCTCCCTTATAGTCCCAGACCGGAATCGAACCTACAATCTTTTTGTACAGGATGACACTCCAACCAACTGAGCCACCCGCCAGGCCTTGATTGTTTTTATTGACAAGTGCAGACCTTATGTGCTGTAAGATGATCCTCAACCTGGGTCTGACTGAGATTTCCTCATGACAAGACTCAGGTCGTACGCTCTTGTGAGGACTACCACAGAAACAGTGCTTTGCTCTGCTCTCAGTGTATCACATAAGGAGGCATATATGACACTGACACATCTCACCAATGGTGGTGTTAACCTTGATCAGTTGGACATGTTGATACCTACCAAATTTTTCTGCCTTAAAATCACTCTTTTCCCTATGAAATTGATTAATATTTTGTGAGGAAAATATTCTAAGATAAAGCCAATATCTTGTTCCTCATCAAACCTCCAGTTTTTAGGCTTAACATTGATGACTTGTACCTGAATTAATCACACTGTAATTGTTGTTAAATGGTGGTAATCTGTTGCAGTCATTCTTTCTCTATGTTAGTTGGCTGCTGTAAGAGCTTTTCCATCTCCTTTTATGTATCTATTTATTATTTTACTCATGGATTTCTGTTTTATTCATTGGGCTTTAATCCATTAATATTATTTATTTTGATGCTCAAATTGTTTCTGATTTGGCCATTGTAAGCTCTTCAGCATGGTTTCTATGTTCAGTTGACATGTCTCCATCATTTATTGCGTGTTTCTTACTTCCTGGAACAGGAAGATGTCCCAGGCTCATATTTTATTTGCCCTCCCCAAGCTAAGTACTTGTCATTTTCTCCAAGGAGCCCTGGTTCCTCTTTGTAGAGGGTGGTATTTATGCATTTTTTAAAAAAAGGAAAACAGAAAAAGCAAAGGGAAAACCCCCAAAATAGCCCCTGTTAACATTTTGGTGGATGTCTTTTTTTTAAATATATGTACTTATTTAACTTCTTAATACTGGTAAACTTTTGTTTTTATGATAAACAAAAAAGAATTTGACCAGCTAACTTCTTAGCTGATTAAATCTTTTTAAATTAAAAGGTATTTATTTTATAGGTAGTTTATTATTTTTTTAAAAGTTTTTATAACCTTAGTTTTCCTTTTTACATCATTTTCTTAAAAGTCAAGACACATCTGAAAGATCTCAGGATTGTGATATGCAACTTAAAGCAAAGCGTGACTTTCTAATGAGCGGTCTGCCAGATTTGTTGAAACGACAAATTGCAAAGAAATCTGCTGCATTAGATGTGTACAATGCAGTGAGTACCAGTTTCCAGAGAGTTGTTCATGTACAACAAAAAGATGATGGTAAGCTTGCTGATTATATTATTGATATTGAATGTTTACTTTGAACAGGTTAGAAGTAATGTGAAACTGTGTAAGTTGGTTTAAGATGAGGCTAAGGTTTAATTGTAATTGTTAGAGTGATTTTAGTGGGAATTTAAATTCTCTTCCTGAGCCTTGGACTCACTTTACCGAGGATGGCAACTGGGGGCAAGAAAGCCAAAGGCATCCTCAGCCTTTACCCCTTAGGCCAGGGGACAGCAGGCACAGGTGTGCGGCACCTTAAGTGCATGCTGCTCTCTAGAGAGGCTCTCTGTTCTGAAAGGAAGACCATTCCCTTCCGAAATTATAACCTGTGTGTGAACAGGTCATCTAAGAATTTCTTATAGGAGTTTTAGCCCTGTCCTTGTCCATGCTGATGCTGAATGTTCAGGGAAATCTGTTTGCCTCCTTTCCAGCACAGCTTGTGCTCTTTACTACCATACCTGTATTGGGGAATATTCTCTGGAATAGGTGACAAGTAGCAGTGCTTCATTGCCCTAGTTCACCCTATTTTCATATGCACCGTGCACAAGAGCAAGCTGTTTGCACAAGCCCCTTTCTTATAATGTGGTATTAGCTTGACCATAATTGACCATAACCTAATTCTGTTTGGATTCTAATGCTGTAGCAACTACAGTCTTACTTTACTTACATGGTTTTTTAATTGCTGATAATATACCAAGCCTTATATCATTATGTTGTCGTTGTTTCTACCTAGAGTTTTTTTTGTCAGCACAAAAACAATTATATTCTCCTCAGCTGGCTGTGGTTTGGTTTAGTGCACTCATCTATCATGAAGTGTACACTACTTTCCGTTCTCTTCTTTTCCCTTTTATGTTTCTGACATTGATACTTTTTGATTTTCGTTCAGCCTCTCATTTGTATGGAGAACTTCCCAGCCCATCTTTGTAATAATGTCCTACTTTCCTTTTTTCCAAACTCAGTTGATGAACCCTTTCTTGTTATTTTTTACTAGTTCAGCTTTATATAGTTTTGTTTTGTTTTAATTCTCATCTGAGGATATTTTTTCCATTGCTTTTCAGAGAGAGTGGAAGGGAGAGAGAGAGAGAAACATTGATGTGAGAGAGACACTTCAGTTGGTTGCCTCCTACATGTGCCCAGCTGGGGCCAGGGATGAAGCCTGCAACCGAGGCACGTGCCCTTGTCTGGAATGAACCTGGGACCCTTCAGTGTGCAGGCTGATGCTCTAACCACTGAGAAAACCCAGCTAGCGCTATAGTATTTTCTTATTTTTAAAAAGTTTTTATTTATTGATTTTAGAGAGAGATGAGGGAAAGGGAGAGAGAGAGAGAAACATTGATTTGTTGTTTAACTTACTCATGCATTCAGTGGTTGATTCTTGTATGTGCCCTGACCAGTGATTGAATCTGCAACCTTGGTGTATCGGCACAACGCTCTAACCAACTGAGGCACCCAACCAGGACTTATACAGTATTTTCTAATAGTATGCACAACTGTAGAAATTAATTATGCTTTTCCCCCCTGATTTTGACAAACCCATTCTCAGAAGTGTGCTGCTGTAAAACTTAGCCTATCTAGTGGTAGATGAGCAGATGAGGCAGGCATAGAGAGCACTCTCTCTCTTAGAACCTTAAGAGTTAGTGAACACTTAACTATTGCCCAGCATTGTGCTGAGCACTTGGTATGCATATCTAGTTTAATCCCGTTAACAACCGTAGAAGGTTGAGTATTATAATTGTCACCCCCACTTTACACATGAAGAAACTAAGGTTTAGGATCTTGGCCACACTCACCTAGCTAGTAAGAGGCAGAGTCTGGATTTGAATCCTGGTCTGATTTGAGAGTTTAAACTTTACACCAGGATGTTAACTGACCCTGAAATTTTTATGGTGAGTAGCAAGGTTGATTTAAAAAGAGAGGAAAATTTGCTTATTTTTAACAATTGGGAGGGGAAACTAGGTAATTTTTATTAATTGTCTTTGTTGGAAGTGAAGATTTTGTTCCCTATGTACTCATCTGAGTTTTGATACTTTTGTGTTAACTATGTGGTTAAGTCTTTTCATGTTTATGTACTTGGCATTTGATAAATGGATAGTATGTGAATGAAGGTAATTAAAACAATTTTTCTGTTTTTCTTTAGGGTGCCACTTGTGGCATTTGAAACCACCCACTTGTCCTCTTTTAACTAAACTTAAACAATTGAATACTAAAGTAGATCTCTCGAAATGTGTTATCGCTCTTGGTGAATTTTCAACATTAAATTCAAATTTGAAAAGTAATAATTCTGCTGTTGTGGTAAGTATTAGAGAGCGCATCCATTGTAGAGTGTTTCCTTCACATCTTTTAGAGGAAAAGAATTTTGGATATCTACTATTATAGCCTAAAGTTCATTTTTTCCTAGAGTTCAATTTAAAGAATAAATTTCAGCTGAAGTATATATCTCTTTTAAATACTCCTAGAGCTATAAAAACATTTTAAGAATTAGTGCTAGCCAGTTACAAAAGAAGATTACATTGTATAGTATGTTTAGATACTTTCTAAGTCAGCATTATAACCTAGTAAATATGTGAAATACAATTAGTTGAAACAGAGAACAATAGAAACATGAACTAAGTCCTTCAAAAGCTATGGGAATGCGGCTTTTTGCTATCAAGATTGTATTTAGTAACATTTCCATCAAGATTACATTTAGTGACTAAAGCTAATATCAACTTATTATTGACAAAGTAATTGGTGGTATCGTGCTTAATGGTAATAGACAATGTGGGTCAGTTATTGAGTATTTCATTCTTTATTTCAGTTTATGGGGAGGAGGAAAGATTTTACTGAAGAAGTAAGAAATCTTTTGCTGGAGGAAATTAGGTGGTCAAATCCTGAGTTTTCTTTGAGGAAATATTTTCCTTTGCTTCTAAAAAAGCAAACTGAGCACCAAGTACTCTCTGAATGTCATCGTAAGCAAGGTTAGTGATAATCATTATCATTTATCTTAACATTTCACTTTTGAAAGCGCTAAGAGGCCCTGGCTGGTGTGGCTCAGTTCGTTGGGCATCATCCATGCACCCAGAGGTTGAAGGTTCGAGTCCCTATCCAGGACACATGCCTGTGTTGCAGGCTCCAGCGCCCACGGGGGTTGTGCAGGAGGCAGCTGGTCGATCAATGTTTCCCTCTCATTGTCAATGTTTCTCTCTCATTGTCGATGTTCCTGTCTCTCTCTCCCTCTTCTGCTGTTTTTCGAATCAATAAAAACATTTTTAAAAAAAGGAAGTACTAAGAGTTATCCATTGACCCTTGGAAATAGCCATCATGAAGAAAACATTGCTTATGGTTGGCAGGGAGAATTTGTTCAACTGAAGTAAAGCATCTTGGGCAATGCAGTGTTAGCCCCTGCCAGCTTCCAGAAATGCCAAGCCCAAGACAGCTATTAATAATTCACTTAAGGGAAGCTTTAGATGAGATAATTTGAACTTACACAGATTGTACACAGGCAGTCCAAGTAACAAGGCCTTCAGCTTGCTGTCATTGTGCCGCATTTGATTCTTGCCTTTCATTTTGTAGTAAGACAATTGAATATTTTGAAGTAATACTAAGATTATTGGGTATTAAAATGTTTTTGATTAGTAAGCATATGCATTTCTGTTATTCCCCAAATAGAAAATCCACAACTAGAGCCTGGCGTCAATCTAAAAGAAACCAAAAGGAAACGAATGGAAACGGAAAATCGTAAGTCAAAAAGAAGGAAACCAGGTGATTATTCAGAAAATGGAAATGGAAAACCAAAAGAACTCGAAAAACCACACAACTATACTGGGATAAAACTGGATTCTTCCAAAAGTCTGTATTCTAAAACATGCAGGAAGAAACAAACTGCTTTGAGTACAACATGTAAAGTGGAAACAGAAGCAGAAGATTCTGATGTTCTGATCATAGATGATGACAAAGCGTCTACATCAGAAATGTCTTCTGTTCCTGGTAAATTAGTGTTTCTTCCTCTGTTCCTAGATCTCTCTCTCTTTTTTTTTAACCTGTTACTTCCTCTCTGTTAATATGTGCTCATTGCAAATTCAAACGATATATATGTATAAATAAGAAGTGGAAGCCTCACTGATTAGAGTCCTATAGATAATCATATTAACAGGTTGCTGTTTGGTCTTTGATTTTTTCTATGCTTCTGTAAATACATATGCTTTTATAAAAACCAGGGATCATACTATACATATTATTTTACACCTATTTCTCATATTTCTTATGTGTTCCCATTCAGTGTATCTAGCTTTTCCATAGTATCCTATTGAATTGATTAATTCATCTATTTATGATGCTTTAGAGTATATTTTGATATTTGTATAGCAAGTCTCCTATCATTTTTAAAAGTAATTTTCATGCATCTACTCTATTATGAACTATAGATTCCCCTACCCTCATAAATCCCATTGGGGTTTGGTTTTGCATTAGTTTATAGATTAATTTGGAGTGAACTGGCATCTTTATAACATTCGGTATTCTCAACAGGGAGTGTAACGTATCTCTCCATTTAACCCAATGACTTAGCTGGAAATTTTAATGTTTCTCTTCAGTGGTCAGAAGAGGCTCCACTGAGCCTCAAATTATGCTGTCTATGTTCTTTAGAAAATTTTTATGGTAAAAATTATTTTTCATGTTTCTGGAGTTATTAAAAATTTTAATGTATGCTTTTAAATGCTACTGTTGTGAGACTTTATGGTGTTTTTTTAAGGAGGAATTTGATGTAAAAAATTTTTAATGTAATATTAAGTTTTGAAATTGCCTTTTTGGCATTTTATAAATATAAATATTTGTGCAAATAGTTATTGTTACATGAAACATAAATGTCTAAGTATATGTTTATGTCAAGGAACAAATACTTTAATGTATATTTTTTGTTTTAGATTCTGGAACTGAAGACATGCTTTGGACAGAAAAGTATCAGCCTCAGAACTCCAGTGAACTCATAGGCAATGAGCTAGCTATAAAAAAGTTACATAGGTTCGTAAAATTGAGAATTAGTTAATGAATCTAGTTTTTTGAAATTTTATTTGTTCTAAAATCTATAAGTTGTAATTATAAAGTAATACATTACATGGTAAAAATCTTTAAAAAACACACACACAGAGAAGACTATTAAGTAAATATCCCTCTATTCTCCCTAAAGGTAAACCAGTATTAAAAGTTTCTTTTAAAACCTTCCAGAAAAAATTGTATGCAAATATTAGTTTCTTCTTTCAAGTACTTGCATTGTTCTTAGCTCTTTAATGCTTAGAACAATAGTGTGAGAGTGTAAATGCAGTTGTCATTGTCTCATAGATGAGGAATGAGGCCTAGAGAAGTTGAGCATTTGTTTAAGGTCACACAACTAGAAAGTGATGGAGCTAGAATTTAAACACAGGTAGTCTAGCTCCAGACTAGAACTTAATCTTTCTTATACTGAGCATTGTATATTAGACATCTTTCATGTTATCGCACAATCTATTTAAATTCTTTTTAGTTGCTGTATTGGTTTCTTGTATCTGTGTATCATCATGTATCTTTTCCCCTACTGATGTAATTGCAGGTTTTTCCTTTTGGAGGCTAATATAAACAGTGTTGCAATGAATACCGTTTCACATATAGTCTGTCTATATTCTGTGAATTTTCTTTATTAACACATTTTTTCTCATTACAGTTGGTTGAAAGACTGGAAAAGAAGAGCTGAATTAGAAGAAAGACAAAATTTGAAGGGAAAAAGAGATGAGAAACAAGAAGGTATTTTGAGTCATTGTTTCCCATTTCACTGAAAATTTTTAGAATTAGATTAGCTTAAAACTTTTATAAAATTTTTTATTCATATTTTAAAATTGGTGTTCTGGTTTTTGCACATGAAACTTTCAGCATTTATTGGCAAGAAGTTTGTGGGATTTGATCATTGGGTTTGGTGAGATAGAATTACTGCCTAAGCAATTATCATTTTATATGCATTTGAATAATTTTTCAGATCTGTTGGATAGAATTGACTTTAAAGACAGTTCAGATGAAGAAGAGAATCGTCTTTGCAACACTGTTCTCATAACAGGGCCAACAGGAGTGGGGAAAACTGCCGCAGTATATGCTTGTGCTCAGGAGCTTGGATTTAAGGTTAGTCATAGCTGCAGTGGAACAATGTTAATGAATTAAAAGAAAACATAAACTGTCTTGTCTTTTTCATATATTCTTCCCTTAGATATTTGAAGTGAATGCCTCATCTCAGCGCAGTGGAAGACAGATTCTTTCTCAACTGAAGGAAGCTACTCAGTCCCATCAAGTAGACAAGCAAGGTGTAAACTCACAAAAACCTTGTTTTTTTAATAACTACAACATAGGCAAGTCACCAAGTAAGTAATTATTTTCTTTGTCATGACCTTTTGAAAAAAATAAAATCTAAGAAATTTTTTTAATAATTATTATTTTCCCATTTGTTTTTTTCTACATATACACATGCCTTTTTAATTTTTAACTTGATTGTTTTAAACATGTCTCAAGACCATCATATAATTTTACTCCCATAATTTTAATAGGTATCTCTGACAAGGACTTTTTTAAAAATGTAATAACCCCAATATCATAATCAGACCTAAAAAAATTAATGATATACCTTAATTTGATCTAATACACAGTCTAATTTTTCAAATGATTTGTTCAAATCAGAATCCAGACATGGCTCACATCTTACATTGATTAGTATCTCAAGTTTTTTTTAATCTCTAACAATTCCCTCACCCTTCTTTTCATATTATTTAGTTAAAGAAAATGGATCATTTGTCACAAAATTTCAACCAACTGAGCCACACTGGCCAGGGCTCTCACGTTCTGTATTTGTCTGATTGTATCTTCATAGTATTAGTTAACATATTTCTCTTCCTGTATTTCTTGTAAACTGGCAGTTTGGGGTGTTCTTAATTAGATTTAGGTTCCATTTTTAGGGTAGCATACATGCATAGGTGGGGCTGTGTACTTACCATAGCATCACTGGTTATCCCACTTTTAGTGATACTAAAATTGATTGATGAGTTTGTTTTCAGTCTAATCCATCCAATATAAAGTTCCCCCATCACTCTTTTATCTAATGGTATTTTGTAGCCATTAATGATCTTTGGTCTAGTAAATCCATTATTTCATTAGGGGTTAAAAAATGGTGGTTTTGTAATTCACTCAGTGTTTCTTAATTTATTAGTTAGAATTCTAAGGAGCACTATTTCTCATCAACTATTTGGATACTTTGAAATACATTTTGTACAAGAAAGGTATGAAAAATGCTTCAATCTTTCCTTTTACTTATCAGTTCTTAGAGTATTGGTGCCCTAGTAATCTCTGAAGTTGACCGATGAGTTTTAGCATCTTTTTGTTTGTTTGTTTGTTTTTTAGTATTATTATGAATTCATGTATTTGTATGTATGTAATGTGTATCAGTCCTTTGTGTTCATTTTTCATTTATTTATTTATCTGTCTATCTACTTACTTATTTGTTAACCCTCACCCAAGGATATTTTTTCTCTTGATTTTTTTTTCTTTTTTTTTTCCAGAGAGAGAGTGGAAGGGAGGGGGACAGGGAGGAGACACAGAGAGAGAGAGAGAGAGAGAGGGAAACATCGATGTGAGAAAGACACAGATTGGTTGCCTCCTGTACCCACCCCAACCAGGGCTGGGGATCGAACCTGCAACCCAGGTACCTGCCCTTGCCTGGGAATCAAACCCAAGACCCTTCTGTGGGCAGGCCGACGCTCTATCCAGTGAGCCACACCGGCCAGGGTGTGTTCATTATTCTTTGCTTTTAAGATTTCCTCTTTATCATTGGTTTTAAGCAACTATAATGATGATATACATTGGTATAGTTTTTCTATTTCATGTGCTAGGGGGGTTGTTGGGCTTTTTGGATATATAGGCTTAAATTAAAGTTTTCATCAAAATTAGGAAAATTCCAACTATTGTGTTTTTTTCTTTTTCATTAGAATATATTTGACATGCAACATTGTGTAAATTTAAGGTGTACAATATGTTAATTTGATACATTTATATATTGTAATATGTTTTCCATTGTATTGATAATTAGCACCTCTATCACATTACATAATTATTATTTTTAGTGGTTGGAATAATTAATTATAGCCTCTTAGGAAGTTTGATGATTATAATACATTATCATTGTCTGTATTCACTATACTATGCGTTAGATCTCTAGGATTTATTTAGTGCTCATTGCAAGTTTGTGCCCTTAAACCTCTGTCCTATCTCCCTGGTAAACCACCATTATACTCTCTTTTTATGAGTTTGGCTTTTTCAGATTCCAAATGTAAGTGACATCATACAGTACTTGTCTTTTTCTGTCTGACTTCTCATTTAGCATAATATACTCAAGGTCCATCCATGTCATAAACTGCACTGTCCTTTTTCTCATGGCTGAATAACGTTCTATTGTGTGTGTCACGTACTTATCCATTCACCTGTTTCTGGGCAATTAGCTTGTCCCTATCTTGGCTGCTGTGAGTAATGCTGCAAGTATGGGAGTGCAGATATCTCTTCGACATCATGGTTTTTTTCTTTGGACATATACCCAGAAGTGGAATTGCTGGATCTTATGGCACTTTAATTTTTTAGAAGCCTTCATATTGTTTTCCATAGTGGCTGAACCAAGAGTGTACAAAGCTTCCCTTTCTCCCATGTCCTCGCCAACACTGGTTATCTCCTCAAATGTTTTTTCTCTTCTCCTCCTTTGGCAACTCCAGTTATATATATTTTAGACCACTTGATGTTTTCTCACAGCTCACTGATTATTTGTTCAGCTTTTCAGTCTCCCCCACCCCTCCGTGTTTCATTCTGGATAGTTTTTATTACTGTTTATTCAAGTTCACAAACCTTACCTTTGCAGTACCTGTATGTTGTCAGTGCCATCCAGTGTATTTTCACTTCACACATTGTCGTTTACATTTCTAGAAGCTTGATGTAGATCCTTTATATATCTCCTATATTACCAGTATTTCCAACAAGGTTTTGAACATATGAATCACAGTTATAATAACCGTTTTATGTTTCTTGTCTACTTCTATCATCGGTGTCATTTCTGAGTTGGTTTCAATTGATTGACCCTCCCCCCCAATGGATTATATTTTCCTGCTTTTTTGGATGCCTGATAATTTTGATTAGATTTCAGGCTTTGTGTAGTTTACCTTGTTGGATGCTGAACATTTCTGTGTTCCTGTGACTCTTCTTGAATTTTATTCTGGAATACAGTTAAGTTACTTACAAACAGTTTGATCTTTTCAGGTCTTTTATGCTGTATTTAAGTGAGACCATAGCATTTAGCCTAGAAGTAATTTAACCCCATTACTTAAGCAAAATCCTTCTGAGTCCTCTCTCCACTGCACCGTTACTTATGAAGTTTGAAGAGTAACTATTCCCAGCTCTCTGTGAGCCTCAGAGGTTATTTCCTCTAAACCTTCATTGATCGTCACTCAGTTGAAGACTTGAGGGGACCTTCTTTAACTTCCCAGAACTCTGTGTAGCCCTCTGCTCCTTGGTATTCTGCCGTATGAACTCTGTCTCCCCTGGCCTCCCAGGGCTCTTAGTTTAGTCTCCACAACTCAGGGAAACCTCCAGACTGGGTTCCCTCTTCTCACTGTGGCCTGGAACTTCTCTCAAGGCAGTAAGCTAGGCAATCCCTAGGGTTTACCTCGTTTGTTTCTTGGCTCTCAGGTATCACTGTCTTCTGTTGCATGATATCCGAAGTCTTTTTTAAAAAAATTTCATTGAATTTACTGGGGTGACATTGGTTAATATTACATAGGTTTCAGGTGTTCAGTTCTACAATACATCAACTGTATATTGCATTGTGTGCTCACCCCAAGTCAAATCTCCTTCCATCACCATTTATTCCCCTTTTCCCTCTTTTGCCTCTTTCCACCCCCCTTACCCTCTGGTAATCACCATACTGTTGTCTGCATCTATGAGGTTTTTTTTTTCTTTGCTTAATCCCTTCACCTTTTTCACTCAGCTCCCCATTTAAGCCATTTATATTTAATCCAAAGTCTTGAAAAGAATATCATATTATGTTCAGTTTTTGTTGTTATTTCAGATGGGTGGCTAAGTCAAGTCTGTATTTTGGCCAGAAGCAGAACCCTCTCTATTTTTCTTTTTGTGTTCATATTGTCTCATTGTCTCATCTTTGGCTAGGAGGAAATCTTTTTTAATCCTCACGAGAGGATATTTTTTCCATTGCTTTTCAGAGAGAGTGGAAGGGGGGGAGAGGGAGAGAGAGAAAGAGAAACACTGATGTGAGACACATCAATTTGTTGCCTCCCACATGGCCCCAATGGGGTGTGGCTGGGGATCGAGCCTGCAACCAAGGTACGTGCCCTTGGCCAAAATCAAACCCAGAACCCTGCAGTCTGCGGGCTTATGCTCTAACCACTGAGCAAACTGGCCAGGGCTAGGAGAAAACCTTTTTAGTTGGCTCATGTCCCTTTTTTCTTTTTCTCTTTTTACTTTACTATTATTTTTTTAGCCCTCACCCAAGGACATGCTTAGGTAGACGGAGAGAGAGAGATTAGCATGAATGTGGGAGAGAAACATCGATCAGTTGGCTTCTGTACACTCCCCGACTGGGGATCAAACTCGCAACCCAGGTATATGTCCTGACCAAGAATTGAACCAGCAATTGTTTCCTTGCTCTCTGGCTTGTTAAGATGTCCCAGGCCTAAAAGGACCGTGTCTCCAATGAACTGATCCTTATGGTGGAAAACCCTTTCTAAAGAATATATGGCCCGGCCAGGCGTGGCTCAGCGGTTGAGCATGGACCTAGGATCCAGGAGATTGGGGTTTGATTCTCGGTCAGGGCCCATGCCCAGGTTGTGGGCTTGATCCCCAGTTGGAGGCATGCAGGGGCATTGATCAACTGATCAATGGCTCTCTCATCATTGATGTTTCTATCTCTTTCTCTCCCTTTCCTTTCCTTTCTCTGAAATCAATAAAGATATATTTTTTTAAAAAAAGGAATATATTGATAGCCCCGGCTAGTATGACTCTATTGGTTGAGGGTCATCCTGTACACTGAAAGGTCGTGGGTTTGATTCTTGGTCTGAGCACATACGCAGACCAAGGCTTCGGTCCCTGGTCAGGGTGCATATGGGAGGCAACCAATCAATGTTTCTCTCTCACATCGATGTTTCTTTCTCTCTCCTCCCCCTTCCTTTCTCTCTAAAATCAATAATAATTTTTTTAAAAAGCATAAAAGAAAATAATATATTGATAAAATTTAGCCAAGTACTTATGAGTACCTTGAAGTAAAAATTGGCACGTATTTACCCGGCCCGCGTGGCTCAGTGGTTGAGCATCAACCTGTGATCCAGGAGATCTTAGTTCGATTCCTGGTCAGGGCACATGCCCGGGTTGCAGGCTCGATCCCCAGTAGGGGGCGTGTAGGAGGCAGCTGATCAATGACTCTGTCATCATTGATGTTTCTATCTTTCCCTTCTCTCTGAAATCAATAAAGATATATTTAAAAAAAATTTTTTTAATTGGCATGTATTTTCTAAAACCAATCTGTGGATTAATGCCAGTCCATGATCAAGCAATTCTTGATCTATGACAAAAGTAGAAAAGTAAAGACAAACTAGTGAGGTGTGTTTTTTTTTTTTAAATAAATTGAAATCTATTCAATATAAAGAAATGTTTTTTATTAAAAGATTATGCATTTCTTACCTTGTGTTTAAATGCCCTGTTTATATGAAATGATAGTGATGTCTATAATAATTTCTTCAAACTCAAAATTTTCAGTAAGTTTTTTGAAAACCTGTAAGATACAATATATATAAGATCTGTGGAGATAGGGGAGTTAAAAAAGACTAGGACACTGTCATGGAATTGTGCCCATATGATGGTACGTGAAGAAGATTCTGCTCCAAGGCCATATGATAATAATTAGGACATGTAAGGACTGAATCAGGGTACTTGGAAGAAAAGGACATGTTCTGGAATAAAGGCTGGGCAACATTGGCTTCTGGTGTAGGGAGGAATTAACCATTTCTTTTTAAACTTTGTATCCATTCTCCATAGCATCTCTAGAAAAACATATTTTTTATTTGCAGTATCAATTTACTGTAGGGTTAAGCTGAAGTTGGACAAAAAGTTCTGTAATGTGTTCAGTATGTACTGTTACAACTTTTCCTGCAGCCTTTTCTGAGCTCACATAGGTGTACATAAAGTGAATGGAGGAATTAAGAACATTATTTGGCCCTAGCCAGGTTGCTCAGTGGTTAGTGTGTTAGCCTGCAGACTGAAGTGTCCCAGTTCCATTCCTGCCAAGGGTCCCAGTTCCATTCCGGCCAAGGGCACGTAACTCGGTTGCAGGCTTGATCCCCAGCTCTGGTCTGAGAGTGTGCAGGGGAAAACCAGTCTATGTGTCTCTTTCACATCGATGTTTCTCTCTCTCTCTCTCCCCCTGCTTCCACTCTCTCTGAAAAGCAATGGAAAAAATATCCTTGGGTAAGGATTGAAAAAAATTTGATTCAAGAATGTGTGTTTCTTTGAAAAAGAGTGACTTTTCCAAATGACTGGTTTTACCTTCTCTACTGATAGAATAAGTAATATTATAGTAATAGTTGACTATTTAGTATTTGAACGTAAGAATGAAAGAAAATTTTTATATCTTTGATTTGTAACTGGTAAGAGTAGAAATGTGGACTGTGGATAATTCAACTTTGCTATATGTTTAATTTTTAGAATATTTATCTTTATGTGTAATTTGTTTTTGGCAGAAAAATTAAGTTCTCCTAAGAAAGTTGTTACATCACCAAGGAAACTTCCTCTACCATCACCACAAAGTAGTGGACCAAAGCAGGCACTTCCACCTAAAACATTGGCACATTATTTTAAAACGTATTCTAAGCCAAAAAGTACTGAAGAAATAAAAGCACTTCTGGAAGATAATAAAGGTAAGACATTAAATTGAGTTTTTTCGTTTTTTTTTTTAATATATCTTTATTGATTTCAGAGAGAGGAAAGAAGAGGGAGAGAGAGATAGAAACATCAATGATGAGAGATTGATCAGCTGCAGCTCGCAACCCGGGCATGTGCTCTGGCCGGGAATCAAACCCTGATCACCTGGATCCTAGGTTGATGCTCAACTGCTGAGCCATGCCCGGCTGGGCTTGACATTTTTAATCCTAATGACTCTAATACATAAAATTATCATCAGCCCTCAGTGAGTAGTTCAGTTGGTTAGAGATACTTCAAGGCTGTGAATTTGATATCTGGTCAGGGTACATATAAGAATCAACCAGTGGCCGTAGCCGGTTTGGCTCAGTGGTTAGAGCATTGGCCTGCGAACTGAAGGGTCCCGGGTTCGATTCCAGCCAAGGGCATGTACCTTGGTTGCAGGCTTGATCCCTGGCCCCAGTTGGGGCGCTTGTGGGAGGCAACCAATCGATGTGTCTCACATCAATTTTTCTCTCTCTCTCTCTCTCCCATTCTCTCTGAAAAGCAATGGAAAAAATATACTCGGGTAAGGATTAAAAAAAAAGAATCAACCAATGAATGCACAAATAAGTAGAACAAGTCAATGTTTCTATCTCTATAAAAGTAAATAAGTAAAAAATGAACATACTTCATGAGCTCCTATTGCTATTTATTAAACTTCAGCTGTGCTGAAGGTCCTACATACAGGAGTTTTGATATTTTGTTTCACTTTTGATAGGGGATTTCAGTTTGAGCTTATTCTGTGGAAATATCTAATGTTCTATTAAAAGCTGATTTTATATAAAATATTAATATTTTATTTATGCAGGAATCAGAAATTCTTTTGAACAGAAACAGATTATTCAGACTAAATCTACAAACACAACTAATTCAAATGCCAAAGAGCATGGAGCAGAGGAACCCAACAGGAAAAATGCAACGTGTCTCATTCTTTTTGAGGAGGTAGGCTTGCAGAAGTGTACTTCCGTGACTCTCATGATGAAAACTTATTCTCAGGATTCCTGTGTGTGTTACTGTAAATCATTGTAAAATAGCCAAGAAAGTCAGGAATACTTGGATCTGTTTGAAATTAAAGCAAGCGAATCTGTCAACGGTAGAAGAATTTTTCATGAAGGTGATTAATGCAATCCAGGGTTGCTCTTTTTTTTCAATGATTTTAGAAATTATTCTGAGTCTTCCTTATCCCGTTACAGGTGACTGAATTTCTTTGGGGTTTTTTTGGTTTTGTTTTTTTATCCTCATCCAAAGGCATTTTCTCCATCGATTTCTAGAAAGAGTGGAAGGGAGGGAGGAGATGGGGGGCAGAGAGAGAGAGAAACATCAATGAGAGAAGCATCACTGATCGGCTGCCTCCTGCACACCCCCTAGTGGGGATCAAGCCCGCAACATGGGCATGTGCCCTGACCGGGAATCCAGCTGGTGACCTCTTGGTTCCTGGATCGACACTCAACCACTAAGCAACACCAGCCGGGCAATATTTCTTTAGTTTTAATGTTTGATCATTTTTTTTACTCTTTTTTTTTTTTTTTTTTAAGATATGCTTTAATGTTCCTTGGGCAAATCAGTTGGGAAATTTGGGGTGTTTACTGGACTCTAGGATATCTCTGAGCCTTTATTATAAATCTAAAGACCAAAGAAAATAGCAAATATATTGGCTGGCCTCTATACCATATCTTTATCTTGTCCTTCCTCTTTCTAGCTGCACAAAGTGAATAATTATGGAAAATAATTCTTCCACAATGTGGACTAGATATAGTAGGAGCTTATAATTAGGGTGCTCAAGAATGACTGATTTGAGGCTCAGCATTTAAAAATGAATGTTTCTATGTAACAAAAATCGTACATTAAAAAAAATTATACTTAAACACATTGGATAATAGTTATAGTAAAGAACATGTTCAAGAATGGGGGTAGAAGCTATTTGGTTCCCTTTGGTACCAACAACTCAGAAGATCTAAGTTGTAAACAAGCAGGATCATGCAATCTCTGACATAATTAAAACTGGATAAACCACAACAGGTGCGTTCCTCAAATAGTTTGCCAAGTATTTGCCCATGTCTATTATAGCTGTTGAGAAAATGGGTTGGCATGAATAGTTATATCCTTAATGTGTATGCCATTAAGAGGTCGGTATGTCTTCTCATTTACTGGTAACTTCTCCAATTCATCTAGAGTCTCCAGACCATCTGTTACCTTTCCAAATACTGTGTATTTCATGTCCAAATGTGGCTGTTTGCCATAGGTGATGAAAAACGGAGATCCATTGGTGTTTGGGCCATTATTGACGGTAGATACAGCACCTCTAATGTTGTGCTTAAGATATTCACTGTATTCATGCTCAAATTTCTTGCCCCAGATACTGTTACCTCCTCTTCCGGTACCTGTGGGGTCTCCTGTTTGAACCATGAAACCGTTGATATTTCTATGAAATATATAGCCATTGTAGTAATTACTGGCACAAAGAGCCAAGAAATTTTCACTTGTTTTGGGTGTCCTCTCATAGAAGATTTCTATTTTAGTATCACCTACATCTGTATGCAGTGTCAACAGCATTCTTCTTCTAGATGGTTACAGTTAGTTAATTTCTCACAGTCTTATTGAGAGAAGTTTGAAAATGAATTTAACCACTTCGGTTAGTACAGCTGTTGTTAAATCAGAAAAGATGCAATTGCAGGTGCCTCCCACAGGTCTGTGGGTTTGAAATTAGTTTCTTCAGGCCTTTTTATTCTTTTAGTGTTGTAGACATTGTAAGATTTCAGCATGGGTTGGATGCACACTGTTCATAAATTCATAAATTTGGTCTCTAACGGACATACAGTGTATCTACTATATATATATACATAACCGCTTTTCAGTAAGTACACTGTTACTTGGTACATTAATATTTTATAAATGATTCTCAGGTCGATGTCATTTTTGAAGAAGATGCTGGGTTTTTGAACGCAATCAAAACATTCATGGCAACAACTAAAAGACCTGTAATTCTTACTACAAGTGGTAGGTAACAGTAATTTTACAGTGAATTGTTAATGGTTGGGATCTTTTGGAAAAGCTCCTCATTTCAGTTTGAAATGCTCCTTTCAAAGTCTGCTAGTAAATTAAGTCCTTTTTTCTAAAATGAGGAGGCTCCTAGATAATTTTTTAAATTAAGGATTATTCAACTTGAGCAGTTGATTGTCATTCTTGAGCAATTATAAAATTAATATACTACCTTGCAGATAGCAATGACTTTAAAAATGGGGACTACTTTAAATCACTTTGTTGGGTGTTAGATATTTAGGAATCTGACAATAGCTTAGAATACAGATAGAAAGATTTATGGCCTCGCCGGTGAAGGGGTTTGGTAGGGAAAAATAGCACATTCTTCTCTTCGCCTCTTCCTCATACCTATGATTAGATCACCAAACCTCATTTGTTGGTCAAAATGTTTTATGGAACACAACCTTTCTGCAGTGCCTTAATATTGAATTTAGCCATTCCTTAATCCCTAATAATACTTCCATATGGATTGATTATTGAATATGTTGGCTAAAGTAAGCCATCACCAGCCTAACAGAATTGGCACACCTTCCTAATAATTAGCATTCAATGTTTAATTTTAAAACATATAATTTTTTAAAATTATAAATATTATATTATAATATTGTTATCTAATATTTTTTATTGCAAATATTCTGTATATCTCTGCTATGGATTTCTATAGAACAATGTGTTTATGTAAGACTCAACTTACAGAGTAATGGCCCATTTGACAGTTAGTGATCGTAATGTAAAAATATCAGTAAAAATCATATAATCACAAGCTAAGGTGGTAGTTTATTTAAATGATCATAGCTACTTTAAGTCAAGATAGAAATTCAGTTTTTATAGTATTGCTTGCATGATATTTCATTTTTATTACTGATGAAATACAGAATATTTTAATAGAAAATGGTCTTCATGTTTAAAACATTTTTTTACTATAGATCCAACATTTAGTTTAATGTTTGACGGCTGCTTTGAAGAAATTAATTTCAATACACCTTCCCTGGTAAGTTTTGAATTTTGATGATCATATATCACAATTATATAAAAAGTGTTTTATTATGATAGTTACCATTTTTAAATGTGGTTACTAAGTTTATGTTAAAATTTTTGACTTTTAAGAAACTTCTGGTTATTATATTTATTTTTTATTTAAAATTTTTTCAAAATTTAATATTCAAAGTTTTACTAGATTCCAATGTTCATTACAGTTCTTTTATAGTAACAGTACTTTATTGAGGTGAAATTTACATAATGGCCTTAAGTGTACGATTTGATCAATATTAACATATGTAAACCTTCATGTAACCATCACCCAGATCAAAATATAGAACATTTCCATTACATCCAAAAGTTCCCATGAGCCCTTTTTATTTTTTATTTTTATTTATTTATTTTAAATGTGTCTTTATTTATTTCAGAGAGAGGAAGGGAGAGGCAGAGAGAGAGAGATAGAAACATCAATGATGAGAGAGTCATTGGTGGGCTGCCTCTTGCACTCCTTGCACTGGGGATCGAGCCCACAACCTGGGCATGTGCCCTGACGGGGAATCGAACTGCAGTCTCTTGGATCATAGGTCGATGCTCAACCTCTGAGCCACACTGGCCAGGCCCATGAGCCCTTTTTATTTTATTTTATTATTTTTAAAAAATATATCTTTATTGATTTCAGAGAGGAGGGAAGAGGGAGAGAGAGATAGAAACATCAATGACGAGAGAATCATTGATCGGATGCCGCCTGTACTCCTCCCACTGGGGATCAAGCCCCGTAACCCAGGCTTGTGCCCTGACTGGGAATCGAACCTTGATCTCCTGGATCATAGGTAGATGCTCAACAGCTGAGCCACACCAGCTAGGCGCATGAGCCCTTTTTTAAATAGTCAACACTCCCCTCCTCACCAGAAGTAACCACTATTCTAATATTATAACTTTAATATTATATTTAATATTAGTTTTCTTTATTCTGAAATTTCAAGTAATAGGAAACGTGCTGTTTTGTATCTGGTTTCTTTTACTTAATATTATGTTTTTTAGATTTATCCAGGCTGTTCTGTCAGTGGAATTGTTGGGTCGTCTTCATTATGCTATTTGTTAAACTTTTAAAGAAGCTGCCAAATACATCTCCAGTGCATGAGAATTCTGGCAGCTGTTAGTCTTTAACTTTAGCCATGTAGTGGTGTCTGTATGTCCATGTGTCTATCTGTGTGTGTTTGCATGTTTGCTTTTGTTAATTAGCTTTTTTGAAGTAATTTATATACAGTAAAGTTCACTCACTTTAAGTGTATGGCTCAATGAATTTTGACAAATGTAGATACAGAATATGTCCATCAAGAACAAAATATTTTCGCCCAGCTGGGCATGGCTCAGCAGTTGAGCATCGACCTGGGATCCAGGTAATCGGGGTTCAGTTCCCGGTCAGGGCACATGCCCGGGTTGCGGGCTCGATCTCCAGTCAGGGGCATGCAGGAGGCAGCTGATCAATGACACTCTCATCATTGATGTTTCTGTCTCTCTCTCCCTCTCCTTTCCTCTCTCTGAAATCAATAAAGATATATTTTAAAATATATATATATATATTTTTTTTTTCATTATCTCAGAAAGTTCCCTTGTGCGCCATTGTGTTTTTCTGTCACTAATTTTGCCTGTAGAATTTCATGTAAATAGAATCTTCTAATATGTATTTTTTTAGTTTCCTTTACACAACATAATGTTTTTTCAGATTCATTCATATTACCTTTGCCAGTAGTTCTTTCCTTTTTATTAATGAGCAGTATCCCATTGTATAGATATACTTCACATGTATGAATGTGTTGTCATAGTCACCTGTTGATAGACATTTGGGTTGTTTACAGGTAAACTGTTATAAATAAAGCTGCTATGAATTATTACATTAAAGTTTTTGGGCATATATTTCCATTTCTTTTACTTAAATACTTAAAGGTGGAATTATTGGTCCAATTAATATAAGATCCTGACAAATTATTTATTAAAGTTTTCCAATGATTTGCATTTCCACCAGCAATGTATGAGAGTCCAGTTGTTTTTTACATACTCACCATAAGTTGTAATTATGCACTTATTTTATTTTATCCATAGTAATAATTATATATTGGTATCTCATGGTTTTAATTTGCATTTCCTTATTGACATGATGTTGAGCATCTTTCCATGTGTCCAAGTGTCATCCATATTTCTTCTTTGGTGAAGTATCTGTTCAACTCTTGCCTATTTTTTAAAGCAGTTGTTTGTCTTCTTATGGACTTCCAACAGTTCTTTTTATATTCTGGACATAAGCTTATATTGGATATGTGTTTTGTAAATATTTTCTCCCAGTTTGTGGCTTATCTTTTCATTTTCAAAAATTTTAAAGAGGCCTGGCCAGCATGGCTCAGCAGTTGAGCATCAACTATGATCCAGGAGATTGAGGTTCCATTCCAGGTCACCGCACATGCCTGGGTTGCAGGCTTGATCCCCACCCAGTAGGGGGCATGCAGGACGCAACCTATCAATGACTCTCTCATCTTTGATGTTTCTTTCTCCCTCTTCCTCTCTTTGAAATCAATAAAAACATTAAAAATATTTTTTTAAGAGTAAACATTTTTTATTTTAATGGCCAGTTTACTAAGTTTTTGTTTTATTGTTCATGGGTTTTGTATCCTATTTGAGAAATCTTTACCAAACCCAAGCTAACAAAGATTTTGTCTTAGATGTTTTGTAGTTTTGACATATAGCTCTTTAATCTATTTAAAGTTTTTGTTAACCCTCACCCAAGGGTATTTTTCCATTGATTTTTAGAGAAAGTGGAAGGGAAGGAGGGAGGGAAACATCAGTGTGAGAGAGACACATCGATTGGTTGCTTCCCACACTGGGGATCAAACCTGCAACCCAGGTATGTGCCCTTGACTGGGAATTGAACTCGACACCCTTAGGTGCATAAGCAGACACCACTGCACCACACCGGCCAGGCCTAAAATAAAGTTGTATGCAATCAATATAAGACATGGTTCACTTGCTTTTCCAATAGACATCACAGTTTGTTGAAAAGACTACCTTTTTTCCATTGAATTACTTTACATTTTTGTCATAAATCAATAGACTATGTATGAGTCTTACTCTGTTCTCTATCCATTTGAAAATATGACATTGTCTTGATTACTATATCTCTTTAGCAAATCCTGAAATCAAAGAGTGTAAGTCCTCCAACTTTGTTTTTCTGCAAAATTGTTGGCAATTATGTCATTAATTTCTCTGTCAATTTTAGAAACATTGCTTGTCAATTTTTATAGTTTATTTTGGCATTTTGATGGGAATTGCACTGAATCTATAGATCAAGTACAGGAGAACTGACAATTTTGCAATATTGAGTCTTCTTATTCATGAACAGTTTATTTTTTAGGAGAGGGGTTTTAATTTCTTTCAGCAGTGTTTTATAGTTTTCATTGTACAAACCTTGCACATATTTTGTTAAATTTAGTTCTAAGTATTTAATGTTTTTTTATGTTATTGTAAATGGTATTTTTAAGATTTCAGTTTATTGCTGGTATATAGAAATAAAATGATTTTTGTAGCTTAAAACCGTGCTAAACTTATTAGTTCTAGTAGTTGATTCCTTAGAATTTTCTATGTTGATTGTCATGTCAATTAAAACCACTTTCATTTCTTCCTTTCACATTTGTACCTTAATTTCTTTTTGCCATATTGCAGTGTTTAGTGCCAGTGTACCTTCAGTACACTGTCGAATAGAATCTCTGCCTTGTTCCTGATGTTGGAGAAAGCATTTATTCCTTTACCGTCAAATATGATATTGGTTGTATATTTTCATAGATGCTCTTTACCAGTTACCTGACTTTGGTTGATTTTTGAATGTCAGACTAGTCTTGTATTCTTAAAATAACATGGTCATGATGTGCTATGTCCTTTTTTATATTTCTGGATTTTATTTGTTCATATTTTGTTACGGATTTTTTGCCTACATTCATAAAGGATATTGGTTGTAGTTTCCTGGCCACATGAAATGGATTAGGACTTTTTTTTTTGTAGTTTCCTTAGAGAAAAAATATGCATTTTTAGCTTTTCATAATGTACTTAGCATTAATATTGTACTAATTTACAGAGAATCTAAGAACCTTGCAAAAGTATAAGTCCATTTACCATCCTTTTATGAGTTAATTTTCAAATGTTTTACATTTATATACATTATAAATTCCCCAGTACAATGCTCTGTTTTATTACTTTATCCAGTTACATGTGTTTTGAAGAAATTACAAGGGTAAAAAGTCAACTTTTACATATAACCATATACTTAAAATTTCTGATGCTTTTCATGCCTTCCTGAAGATCCAAGTGTTTTGTTCTTTGTTTTTGTTTTTAGATTTAAGCACTTTGTTAGCAACTCTTATAGAGCAGGTCTGTTAACGTTGGATTTTTTTAGGTTTCATTTAGCTGAAAATGCCTTTATTTTTAATCCATTCTCAAAGGATATTCTCCCTAGATGTAGAAATTTGGGTTCTCAGTTTTTCCATCTGTCCTTGAAAGATGTTATTTCATTGTCTTTCAGTCACCATTGTTTCTGGTAATAAGTCAGTAGTCCTTTCTTTTGTGGGGAGACTACTCATGTAACATGTCATTTTTTTCTAGATACCTTGAACTTTAGTTTTCACACTACCTGTGAAAACCTAGGTGGTTTTTTTTTTATATTTACTTTGCTTGTGGTTGTTGAATATCTATAATCCTTAAATATATGTCATTCCTCCAACTAGGGAAATTTTTAGATTTATTTTTTCAAATTTACTTTATGCCCATTTGGTCTCTTTTTCCATCCTGGGAATTTAATTGTAGGTGTTAGACATTTTACATTGCCTCATGTATCACTGAGGCATGCTCTTATCCCCTCCCTATTTTTTCCTGTTTGTGCTTCTGATTTGATCATTTGTATTAATTTACCTTCGAGTTTTTAACACTTTTTCCCCCGTGCCACTTCATTTTTCCATGAGGCCCATCCAGTGAAGTTTTTATTATGATATTATTATGGTTTTTAGTTTTATAATTTCTGTTTGCTTCTTTTTTTATAGTTTCAGTTTTCTCTGTTGAGATTTCCTATTTCTTTGTTTATTACGAGCATGTTTTCCTTAAGCATAGTTTTACTAGCTATTTAAGAAGGGGTGAAGGATTCACCAGGCCATTACTTTTGTCCAAGTGTTGATTTCCTGTCGTTTTTTCTCTGTCTTTTGTTACTCTCTTGTGCCTTCAGATAGTTGGTTTTTTGAGTTTATAGTTATTATCAATGGTACTCACCCTATATTGAATGCAGAATTCCAAGTTTGTGGGAAGCAGAAGTCCCAGAAGTGTCCAGGAGTAATGTATATATAGAGAGACCAAAGCCAAAGATTTCATAGAGGAATATTTTTAAAAATTGTTTTATTTACTATAATGTAAAAATGTTAGTAGTATTATAAAGTCTATGAAATGTAAATACAATTTTATTTTTTATAGCTTTTCAATAACAATGATGGGAAAAGAATTGAATATGTTTTGTTGTTTTACAAAAAGTATTACAGCAATATTAATGTAGCAGTAAATGAAAAAATTTACATGGTCCATTTGCCCCAACAAATCACGTTTTTTTCTTTTTTTTGGTTTCTATTTCTTGTTTACATACACTTATGCTTTTATGCATGCATTGATATAATTCTCTAACTAGTTTTAAAAAAATATATAGTAAGTTTTTCAGTATTATTGTAATATTTATATTGATAATTTTAATGGCTATAAAATAGTCTATCAAATTGTACCATTATTTAATCTTAAGGGATAGTCTTCATGGTTAATAAAATTATCTCCAGGGTTCAGGCTGGAGAATCTACATAAAAGTTTCCTTGCTTTTTTAGATATATGCAAGTAATAAAAGAAGTATATTGCTTTTAACATTTTCCTTTATATTTTTCCAGCTCAGTTTCATTCTTAATAAGTGCTTAAGATGTGAATTTTAGCAAAATTTGTCTTACTTTTAAAAATAAAATAAAAAGATATATTATTGATGTATTTCTATTAACTCCACAATTGACCATGTTTCTTTCCTCTCCTCTCTCTCTCTCTTTCTCTCAGCTAAATGTTGCCAGCTACCTACAGACGATCTGCTTAACTGAGAATTTTAGAACAGATGTAAAAGACTTTGTAACATTGTTAACTGCGAATACTTGTGATATTAGGAAAAGTATCCTTTACTTACAATTTTGGATTAGAAGTGGAGGTGGATTTTTAGAAGAAAGGCCATTATCCCTTTGTCGTAAGTTAATCTGTTATAAAAGAATTTTCTGTAATGCACCAAAATATTTGAAAGGTTATAAAAATTTTGAGCATCTAGGTATCACATTAATCTTAAAAATAAACATACATGTGTCAACTTTGTTGATGAAGAGTATTATAAACATTAAATGTGGGTAAATAGAATTAAACCGAACCTAGCATAAATAGTTACTTATACATTTATAAACATACAGTTTCTTATAAACAAATAGAGTTATATTATTTAGCAACTTCCTTTTATCACTTTTTTTAAAATGTTGGTGATTTTTCCATATATATATTTTTACATGACCATGTTGTAAGGTCCTTTTTATTTTCTTCAGTAGTCTATAATTCTGTTTTTCCTAAGAACTTTATAATTTCAGAAATGCTTTATTTTATTATTCATCTTCAGTCATCATTACCTAATTCAAGTCACAGACACATATTGAAGACTTTCTCCATGCCAGGTCCTGTGTTTCCATGAATAAGACATGGGTCCTTCCCCCAAAGAAGTTCATAGTTTGTGGTTTCCATGCTCCATAGTCATAGTTCTGTAGTTACAGATCCTGCTCGGGGAAACAGACAAATATTTAAATAAAATCAGGGTGATGTTCTGTACTATTAACCCCCTGTCAGTTTTTTTCTTTGATTAGTTCAAAATTTTAATATATTCTTTTTCAAAGTACACAAACATTTAATTCAACATAAGCTGGTAGCTTTCACTATTTCTTGGAAGTAAATATGAAAAATAAGACATAGAAAATAACCTGTTATAAAAAAATAGTAACTATCACCATACTACTGGATATAAAATGCTATACTAAGACTTTCGAAGACACTAAGTATGGCATTGTTTCTTTTCTTTTTTAAAATATGTCTTTATTGATTTCAGAGAGAGGAAGGGAGAGGAGAGAGAAGGATAGAAACATCAATGATGAGAGTCATTGATCAGCTGCCTCCTGCATATCCCCTGCTGGAGATAGAGCCCGAAACCCCGGCATGTGCCCTGACCGGGAATCAAACCATGATCTCCTGGGTCATACATCGATGCTCAGCCACTGAGCATGGGGTTTTTTCCCTCCCTGGAAGATCTTATATGCATTTCATTTCTAGCTATAAAAGAAAAAAGAGACACTCATTGGAAATTTAAACAGTGCAGAGTGTGTAAAGTAAAAAATAAAAGATATTCCTCACTTCTTGAAGGTAGCCACTGTTTGACCTTTATCTATACATATACAAATATTGCTACCTACTTATTTAGCAAAATTAACCAATACTATATATATTGTTAAACAGTTTGCTTTTTTTCACTCAACAGTTTATTGTCAGTACTTACAGTTCTACTCCACTCTTTTTCACAGCTGCATGTTATTCCATAATTAATTGGATATAACATACTTTAATTAGCCATTACCTCTTTGGAGACATTTAAGTTATCTTCAGTTTATCATTAAAGTATGCAGTGAATATCTTTTTACACATATTCTTGAGCATGTCTGTGAGTATTTCTGTTGGAGAGAATTCTAGAAGTGTGATTGCTGGGCCAAAAGCTATACATTTTACATTTATATGAGTTTATGTTCCTACAAAGAGTACATGATGGCTCTTTATGTGTACCTTTGACTAAACCAGGTTATTAATCATTTTAATTTGCCAATTTAAAAGGTGAAAAATGAACAGTATCTTAATTTACACTTCCATGATCACAAGGGAAGTTGCACATGGTTTTATGAGTTTATTAGATATTTGTATTTCTTCTATGACTTATTTGTTTCTAGTCCTTGCACTTTTTTCTGTTGGATTGCTTTGTCAGCCCATCACCACCACCTCACTCAACCTATGTATGCTAGAAATAATGTTGTATTGTACTCTTTATGAATTAAATAAATATGTGGAGAACAAAATGGGGGGTATAGGATCAAAAGATGTCAAAGGATCTTAGATTTTAAATAATTGTTTGCTATAATTTGTTTAAAATATGGATAGCTAAGACTGTCTTTTATTAACTTTGAAGGAGGAAACAGCAGAAATGTACAACTTATTCACTCTGAAGATGGTCCTGATTTCAAAAACAACCCTAAAAATACTAAAAGGAATCCTACACACCTTCCCAAATGTGACACTGGCTGTGTTGAGACCTTTTTTGGCCTTAAGAATATTTTCCCCCCATCTGAAGACTTATTTTCATTTTTAAAGGTATTTTCAATGTCTGGTTTGGAATGTTAAATTTATGTTCCTTTCATCTTTTCAATACTAACTCCTATCTTTTGAATCTTGAGATTAACTTAAATTTGCCAATTTTTATTGGCTTCAGATTTCTAATTTTAACACATTTAACCTCTGACAAATGATGCATAGGCATTGCTCTAAATGCATGTTACAATATTGGGAGAAGAACTTAGAAATAGTTCAGATTAAAAATTTCAGAGGAGTATTTTTTAAACAAATGAGCTTCTAATTATTGAATTGGGATATATACTGAATATTAGAAAATTTAATTCTTCAAATTAACTGTCTAAATTCATTTTTTAGATTTATAATACTATTTTGATGTATTAGGGGACTGACTAGGTCGATAAATTATGAGGGATGATGACTTCTTACTCTGAACATAGCATATGAATGACACTATATTCATATGTGTAGAAAAATGTTTGAACTATGTATTGTTATAACATTTTTTTACTCAACATTGTTTTTCAGCACAAAAGCAGAACAAAAGAAGAATGGCATAAGCTCGTCCAGCTTCTTACAGAATTCCAAATGCGGAATGTAGATTTCCTGTATAGTAATCTTGAGTTCATTCTACCATTACCTGTTGATATCATTCCAGAAACAGAAAAGCTTTGTGGTTCATCAGAAAGTGTGGACACCAGTGCAGCAACAAAAAATGTGAATAGTCTTACCATAAGACATTCTGGAGAGAAGCCATTGAAAAAGTCACAAAAAAAGAAACATAAGAAAAAGATGGTAATTCTAGATGATAGTGACTTATTTGACACAAACTTGGACTTTTCTGCTGAATTTCTTTGCCTATGCCCTGAATCTTCTTCCTCAAATTCAGAAGAAAGCAATTCAGAGACAAAGAAACTAAACAAATGTTCAGAGTCTAACATTGAATCTATTCCTCCCCCTGCTAAAACACCAGCAGAAAAAAAGTGTTCTGCCCTCGTTTCTCACTGTTTAGATTCCCTCACTGAGTTCCTGGATAACATGTCCTTCTTAGATGCCCTTGTAACTGATGTAAGGGAACAAAAGGAACTTGGTAAACGTGACTTTAGTTGGACAAATGGAAAGGTAAAAAGTGGACTTTGTGATGAGTTTAGTCTTGAAAGCAGTGATGGATGGACTTCTCAAAGCTCTGCAGAATTAAAGGCAGCTGTAGAAGCTCTCAGTTTTACCAAGTGTTCTTCTACTATTTCAAAAGCATTGGAAACCTTGAATTCTTGCAAGAAATTAGGCAGAGATCCAATGAAAGACCTTACTTTTTATGTTTCACAAAAGCGCAACAATGTGTACTTTAGTCAGTCGGCGGCTAATTTAGAGTAAGTCTTCTATTTTTTAATTTTGGTTTTATATTTTAATAGTATGGTAAAGGGGAAATTATTAGGTTCTTCTTACTAATTTTGAAATGCTGGGCTTTATTGAGCAAGGTAAGCCCTTGATATTAGTAATGTAGCTTCTAATGAGACAGTTAAGACCAGCCTGAATGCTGGGAAGGAAAATAATAAGAGATTAGGGTGGGCTAGATTTGAGAGACTCTTGAGTGACTGGGAAAGGGATCTGGATTTGCTGTGGCAGGTAACAGGTAGCCATTAGAGATGTTTCAGTATGGGAGTGGTTGATGGGTTGAAGATGATACAGGAGATTAATCTGGAATCCAGTTAATCCAGTCTAGATCAGAAGCAGGGAGCAGACCAGAAGCTGGTTGTGTTTGCTACTATTGCATTTTTATTGAGCATTAAAAATAAAAAGTAATGCATTACTTTTAATTTACAGCTGTGCTTGGAAGAGGATAGCAGTCATTAAAAGTGTATTTTCTAGCCGATCTCTTCTGAACCTGGGTAATAGACAAGCTAGTATAATTGAATACCTGCCAACTCTTCGAAACATTTGTAGGACTGAGAAGCTAAAAGAACAAGGGAAAAGTAAAAGGAGGTAAAGGCTCTATAAAAATAACATTTTAGATAGCTATTTCAAGATTAATATTCTCATCTGATGGAAATATTAAATTGCTTTTCTTTATCATTTTGACAGGTTCCTGCACTATCTTGAAGGAATTCACCTTAACATTTCAAAAGAGACTGTGAACACTTTGGCAGCTGGCTTCCCTTAATATTCCACATTCACAGTGCCTTGTACATATTATTATGTGGTCCTTAAGATATTTTTTATATTGATTTTCATGGAAGTTTACATCTCTTAATGTACATTTAAAACAGACTGTATATTTTTTATTAGTGTGCAAATATTTAAAATGAAAACATTTGAGTTACAAATTGTATTTATAATGTGGTGGTATTTTAAAAATTGTTTTGTGTTATCTGGTTTAGCTTTGTTGGAGTATTTTTGTATGTGAATGAGCTTTTCTAGGAGGTAGAGTTCACCTTTAACCCACCTCTCTCCAACCAAGTGTCAGTACTTTGTGAAGTTGTAAATATGAGTCTCCCAGTGACTTTTTATTTAAAATATGAATCTTAAATAAATGTATATAATCCAGAATACAAAATTACTTAGGTAATGCATAAGAAAACTTCCTAAGAAAGAAATTATGTTTCATTTTTCAAAAAGATCTCCCTGCCCTGGCTGGTGTGGTTCAGTGGTTAAAAGTGTCGGCCCGGGCACCAAAGGGTCTTGAGTTCAATCCCCGGTCAAGGGCACATACCTGGTTTGTAGGTTTGATCCCCGGCCCCGGTCGGGGCACAGGTGGGAGGCAACAAATTGATGTGTCTCTCTCACATAGGATGTTTTTCTCTTCCCCCCTCCCTCCACTCTCTCTAAAAATCTATGGAAAAAATATCCTTGGGTGAGGATTAACCAAAAAAAAAGATCTTCCTTATAATTTTATTTCTAGTGCATTCCTCCAGCAGCTTTACCACTGAATATTGAATGTTGACAAAGTGACATCAAGATTATGAATTGTAGTTTTCATAAATGTTTTTTAGCAACCATACTTGTGGTATCTTGTATATTTTGCCAATTCAAATCACTTACCTTGTACATTTTTCTTGTATTTTTATATCAGTTTTATTTCATAAAGATATTAATGATGTTAATATATCTACTTCGGACAAGTATTTAATGCTATTCATTCAAACCGTAACAGTCCTGGCCCATGTGGCTCAGTTTGTTGGAGACATTGAAAGGTCAAGGGTTCCATCCCTGGTCGGGGCATGTGTGGGAAACCAACTGATGTTTCCCACATCACTGTTTATCTCCCTTTCCCTTCCTCTCTAAAATCAATAAAAGCATGTCCTCAAGTGAGGATTAAAAAACAAAAACAAAACGTAACAAAGAATTCTATAGGATCTCTATTTAATAACCATTTCCACTTAAGGTTATGTTTTTGGAGAAAGTATTTATTTTTAATTACAAGATTTTAAAATACCACATTTCACTTAAAATCATTTTTGCAAATAAAAAAACAGATGTACCTGAAAATAGTTTCCTATTTCAAGTGTTTATATTAGCTTAATATTCAGTAACATCATCTGGTGAATTACATTTTCACCTCAAAAGGTAAGGATCCTAATTTTATACAGTTATCTATGTATACCTGCTTTAAATGTCTATAAAAATGTTTCTACTTATTTAACCTAATTTTTCTTGTAGTGATAGTATATTGATTTAATTAAAGGCTAAAGCTAAAAGGCTTTAACCAGTATTTATATAGGAGTTTCAGATGTAATCATCTGAGTAAATATGGATATTGTATAGGTTTGGATATAGACTATAACTCATTCAGGTTTTGTCCTGTATAAAAGATCTGAGGCATTTTTAAAAAGTATATGGATTTATTTTTTTCTACTGAATAGAAAAAAGAGTTCACTACCTATAGAGCACCTACCTGTTAATTTGGCCTTTTATTATTAGAAAATTCTGATTATTCTCAATTGAGGAACCAAAGTAAAATAATTCCATAGAATTTTTTATATCTTTTTTTTAGGTTTGACATAATTTGGGGAAATTTTTTTTCTCAATTCTTAAAGGTGACAAATTCCTGTTAGATTTAGATTCATTTTTGTGATAAAAATAAGCAAATTTTGAGGACTTCTCAATACTTAGCATCCTAGCCTATAAATGTCTAACAGTCACATTTTCACTTACAGCTATTTCCAGAAATATGTGGGAAGTAAGATAATACCACGTGTCTGGCATGAAGGACTGGATGGTTGGTGAGGCTATTTACCAAAGTATAAAACAGTAGCAAAGGAGGTGATCTGGAGGAGAGAGAGTGGTTTCAGACATGTCGTTTGAGGCATCTATAACATTCCCAAGGTGGAGATGTTTATGTGTACAGCCATATACTATGAAACTGTAGAGGTTTACACGTGCATGGCGACACATCTAGAGTGTACACCAAACTCCTAAAGAGTTACAAGGTGCTGAAAGGGAGGACTTCCACTTATTTTACATATACATGATTATTTTAATTCTTCCCAACAAGTGTATTTCACTTTTAGATTAAAAAAAAGACTTAATGCTTTGACATCAGAGACTTGGGTTCAGCACAAGTGAGATATAATGAAGGCCTGGACTAAGGAAGATATACTGGAAAATGGAGATGTGGAAAAGCAAGTGCTACTTTTCTCAAAAGGTGGTCTGCCAATGAAAAGATTTCCAAGTGATATAATGAGCCTGTTAGACGAAGCTTGTTTATTCTGGGCTTGATAGTTGGAGCTGATGAAAATCACCTTTTGGAGGCTGCGTACCAAATGACATTCTATTTACAGAGTAAGAACAGGATTCTACAAGTTGTCTTATCAGTTATAACTATTTGGCTTTATTCCCATGATGAGCACCACCCAGAAAAACTCATTACTTGCCTGTTTCAGCAAATTCTTTAGCATAGATGGTATTTGCTTTTAACGGAAGATAACGTTTCTTGTTTCGACTGTTTAGGAGGTATCTTACTGTTTAACACTTGAACCTAAAAGGTACAGAATCTCATAAGATATTTATGGATTTGGCCTTGGCTTATTGTATAAGCCATTCAACAGCCAAAAGTCTGACTTTAAACATTAAATACACTCAAACCATGTTTTCTTTTCCATTAACATGGATTTAAAACAGTTGGTTTTTACAACTTTATAGCTAATAAATATAACATTAGAGAAGATCATGCATTATCAGAATTTTAAGGTTCAGTGTTAAACACTGCCAATTCGTAGAAGGCAACAGCTTGTAACAATGAATCATATAGCTCTTCTATCCTGCGTTGTTCAGTAGATGAAAACATATGCCTGTAGTGGACTATCTTATCTGATGGGAAGAACACCCGAGGCTCTTCCTTCAGCACAGAGTCTTCGAGGAACTGCTTCACTAGTTCTTTCCCACTAGTCCGGCTGTCACCAATCATCAGTTCAAAGTGCTTCCCCACTGCATTTCGGTTCATGCTCAGCACCTGATGCTGGCCACCGCGGGCAAACGTCGTGTTTAGTAAGGCATACAGCATGGCTTCCATGATATGCAGATGCAACAGTATCGGGAACAGAGTTGAGTTCTGAAGTGAGAGTCCTGTTTTTTCCAGAACATAGAAGTCAGCTTTAGGCATCTTTGAAACAATTGAAGAAATCTTTAAAGAACAAAATAAATAAAATAAGTGAACAGAAATAATTCATTAAGCTTTATTGTTTGGGTCCCCTTTCTGTCTCATTTCTATTTTAAAAGTAAAATTCTATAACTTAACATTATATTGCTATTGACAATTTTGAAGTAGTTGAAAAAGCATTTTTGGGGGGAGTTAGTATAGCCAAATTCTGGTTGTGGTTTTATCAGGCACCATATGAGTAAGACAAACCATTTAGTCCTAAGTACTATTTTCCTCATCTGTAAAATGGGCTCATAATTTCTAAGATTTATGTTGACTTTAAGATTACACAAGTTAAAACTGTTTTATTAACCTTTAAAGAATTTCTACAGTAGAGCACAGGATTAGAATAACTAGCCTAAAATCAATCACCTCTACCACTGACTGATCACATCAGATGTTTGATCGAATCGGTTTTCATAGGTATAATCAGGATGATAATTACTGCCCATCTCACAAGCTTTCAAAGACTCAAATGAGACTAATAGCAGTTTTAAAAATTAGCCTTATGAATATAGTGATGAAATTTTATGACATTTAGAACATACCATTGTTTTTTGTTTTGTTTTTTTCAGTATCCACCTTTGATACATAGGCATTTGTTGAAATAAATGAAGAAAGATTCAAGTTTTGAAAAATTATTGGTGACAGAAAACATAATTGGAATGGGTGAGTAATAAGTACCAAAAGAAAATATCTCCTTACTATTTTATTACATTCTTTTCAGGACTAGTAGAGTAAACTATACAAGGATCTTTAGCAGGTAGGAATTTGGAACTGCCTTACCTCTTCTAAATAGACAGATGATACATATGTTCCTTTCATCAACTGACAACATTCACTTTGCTGCCAGTCCAGCACTGCCAATTTACGATCAAGGTGAGCCCAGGCAATTCTTCGAGTACCAAAAACAATGGATACGATACTATTAACTGCCTAAAACAAAAAGGCTTGTTTAATTACAAGTGTCAACATTTTAACAGATACAAAATTTAAGCTACAAACTCAGAAAGCCAAATTAGTTTATGTAATAGAAATATATTCACAGTTTATGAACTGAGAATTGTTAAAGAAATGCAGGAGTAATTATTAAAAGGTAACCAGCATCAGTCAGTTCTCAGCACTTAAGTCAAAGTAGGCATTCAGATGTTGCTGGGGACTGCTAGATGCTGGGAAGCCAGGAACACAGCCGTACATTGTAAGAACCCCAAAACACAACATTTACACTGTAGAGAAAAAAAATGGTCACGAAGGCCTAGGAGAAGAGTAAAATGGTAAGTGGGAAGTTATCTCACCCAGATGTCCACACAGATAGTGTCTGACACCTCACATGACCAGTGGGATAAAAGAGTAAAAGTGGGAGAAGGGCAGAGGGATACACAGGTTTCTGCAGAAAGTAACTTGCTTTATCCTGAGAACTAAACAGAGCCACCAAAGCATATACCATTCAGGTGCAAGAGGAGATTGATATTTCAGAAAGCATGGCCAGCTGTGTGGAAGGTGTACCAGAGGAGGCTAGACTAGAGGTAGGGACTTGTGTTAGGTACCTGTTATATGACGAAGTACTAAGAACCAAAGACAGTGACAGTGAGGACAAGAAACATCAAGAGATAATGGGAGTAGAATTGACATGTAGGATGATCAAGGAGCCTAGGATAACTCCAGGCGTATGTCAAGATGATCATAGGAGGTGGATCAGTTTGGGAAGGTTGGGGGAGATGAGTGTTTTTTAATTTATTGAGTTCAGGCTGCCTTCTAAGGGAAGATGAGTAACAGATAATCAGATATGTGGATTTAGCTCTGTGCCAAGTATGGGCTGGAGGTATAGTCCAATGGCATCACATCACTCCCACATGGCTCAGTTAGTTGTATGAGCAAATTAACATGCTCTATAAAGACAGATAAGCAGGAACATTTCATAATTCTATACTCACCTCCCGTTTACTGCTAACGAATGGTTAAATATCCATTAAAGGCAGAATAGTTTGGAAGCCCAGACATCTACAAAATACAGGCCTTCTGCCCTGGCCAATGTGGCTCAATTGGTTGAGTGCTGCCTCATGCACTGAAAGGTCGCTGGTTCGATTCCCAGTCAGGGCACATGCCTGGGTTGTGGGCCTGATCCCCTGTAGGGGGCATGCAGAAGGCAGCCAATCAATGTTTCTCTCTCTTCCCCCCACTCCCTTCCTCTCTATAATCAATAAAATACATATGTGTGTATGTGTGTGTGTGTATACACACACACATATATAAATATATATATTTTTTAAATGAGGTAAGAGGGAAGAAAACTTTATTTTTTAAAAATATATCTTTATTGATTTCAGAGCGAGCAAAGGAGAGGGAGAAAGAGAGATAGAAACATCAATGATGAGAGAGTCATTGATCGAGCCCACAACCCGGGCATGTGCCCTGACCGGGAATCGAACCCCGATCACCTGGGTCCTAGGTCCACGCTCAACCGCTGAACGACGCCTGGCCGGGCGGAAGAAAACTTTAAATCCTGCTGGAAAGATGTATAATGTTCTAAAGTCACCCCTTGGCCATAACCCATCTTTGCATCTTAATTTCTGATTATTCCCAACATAACTGTCAGACACAGCCTTACATCTCCTCAACATTCCTTTTAAATAGACTTTGGACAGACCTACTTCTCTGCACCACTGTTTTTCGTCCTAGAATGCCCTCCTCTTCCAGCTAGCCTAGTTTTCTCCCCTCACAGTTTCAGGTTGAGTCCTTCCAGTAAACTTTCCCCAGCAGTCACAGCCCACAGTTCTCTTTCCTCTGAATTGCCAATTTACTATCTGTGCATCTCATTCTTTGGTATTGATCACATACTACTTTGTATAATAGGTTATCGATTAATATGCGTATGTCTGGGCCCACCAACTAAACTGCCTGAAGAGACCTGTCTTAGTGCCCACAATAGTTTTTTGCGAAGTAGATTCTCCAATATTTAGACAGTATAACAGACGTTAAGCAAAAAGGGTATACCTGAAGTCTCTCTCTTTCAATTTCTGGCTTGATGAGTTTTTTCAAGAGCCGGTTTTCCTGTGACTTTCTTTTTTTCTGTTCAGTCTCTGGACAAAGAATGGAGTTACAAACTTGAACGGTAGTTTTGTACTGGAACAAGGGCACATTCATTAAACTCTTCAAATTCTGAAATGGCCCAAACTTTTCTCTGTGTTGTACAATATTGACGGACTTCCTTCCACGAAGCAATCTGAAAGCTTCAAGTTCTTTATTAGATGCTGTATTCAACACATGCAAGATGGAAGCCTGCTGTTCTGAAGAAAAAAGCTTGTCAAGTGCATTTCCAGACTCCTTTGTATTTTTGTCACAAAAAGCAGCGTCGGGAATAATTTTCTTGGGTGCAGTGGACTTTTTCCGACAGCAGGAATTATGTAGGGCCTGGAACAAGGACGACCGTAATACTGGAAAAAATCTCCATCTCCCTAAAAGGGAAATTGAGCAAAATGTAAGTTGGGATGTCCTGCTTCCTTAGTGTTGGCTGCAGCGTGACCAGAACCTTTGCAAAGTGGCACAGACTCTCCCAAAATTTAAGAACTAGTGGACCACATTACATTCTCCCAGAGAATCATTAAAATAAGTTGTGTTCAAACCCTATCTATATGTAATTAAGTAATAGGGCTTTCTGTTGTTTTTACTCACAGGAGGTATGTTCTGAATTTTATAGAAATGTCCTAAGTTTTACTACCGAGAAATCTTATGCCCATCAAGAAGCATGGGTTTAGAAAAATAATTTCGACTGCTTAACGTTTTTGACATTTTTAACTTCAGAGGGTTCTATGTAATTAATATGTTTTGTTAAGAAAATTTACTTTCCCTCCATTTTCACTAGTTTCTTTCTTACCCGGTGGAACCAAATAAAATTAAACTTTATACTTTTACTATAAACGTTTCAGCGGAGTGGTATTTAGGAGCCCTTTTTATTTTCTCCTGCACACTTTTCAAGGTTCCTGCCACGTTTATGTTTCTGCAAGCAGAGGAAAACCCCACGTAAGAAACAATTTTGTAAAGCCAACGGGAAGTCACTCTGACCCCGCAGCTGCAGCAAAGCGATGCAGCCGGGGGTCCGC